ATCCTCAGATCTATCACTGGGATCAGGTGTCTGAACCCGACCGGAATAATTACGCACCTTCCTTTCATAACAAAAGCGGATACCCACTCAGTAACCCGAGAGGAGGATTTGACTTTTAAATTGTTAACAGACTTTGGATCAAGCAAGATACTTGAGAGGGAAAAGCAAACATCCTTTGCAGGAGTTTCGAGCTAGGTTGGACGTTCTCCTAAAAGACTCATAGTCTCTGATTAAACGTCAGCCATCTTCCCTCCTTCACAACTATCCAGAGCAGTCACTGCGAGAAAGGTTTCGAGAAGGTGTTTTGACTGGGGGTCGAGGTTCATGGTGCAATTACACAGGACTGATAAAGAACCACGTTGATGAACACGCGGGATCATAAAATGTTTTTACGGAGGCACGCAAGAGGAAGTATCTCAGAGCAGGTTAGGAGGAACAACATATTTCAAATCGGTCGCTTTTTCTGTCTGGGGAAGGAAGCCGGCCCAGAGATGAGACAAAGGCAGGGGAGTCAGGGCGGCGACTGCAGAGAATGTCAGTACACAGACACGATGAGAAGTTTGGGAACCGGAAAACTGGGAGGAGACAGCGAGCTAAAATTCTCTTGCTAAAGAGTTTGAGAAGTAGTTGTCATTCATATACATGATTTGCAGATTTAAAAACAATTGCCCAACACTTCACAGCCTCAACCCATAGACACCCAGAAGCAGAAAAAGACAAGAATGAACTAGAATTCAAAGCAGCAAATAAACACGAGGCTGGACCACCTCCTGGCCTAGACCCCAAGGGCTCTGCTGACCCCTGCCTGGAGTGTCAGAGAAATGCTGAGTTTCTGATCAAGTTTTTAATCCTAACTTAAATTATTGCCATTTAAGCCTTTTCCTGGACAGGCTGTCTTCTAAGATCTTGGCCTTTAAATTCACCTAAATACACCTTTGATTCTCTTCCATTATTTCCCCTGTAACTTCTTGGTGACTTTGCAGGTTCTCCTTGGGGTTCCCTGTAGGGCGTGGGTTCCCTGAGCCTCAGCCGTCCCATACAGTAGCCGCCGGCCACTTGTGGCTACTACTGAGCACTTGCGAGGTGGCCGGTCCAAACTGAGATGTGCTCTAGGCATAAAATACACAAAATTTCAAAGACTTAGTAAGATATTTTAAACAATTTTTAAATATTGGTTACAAATTTTGAGATGATACTATTTCCGGTATATTCTGTTCATTAACACATCTTATTACAATTAATTTCATCTGCTCCTTTTTTTACTTTGTTAACGTGGCTGCTAGAAAATTTAAGATTGCATCTGTGGCTCGCATTCTATTTCTCCAGGACAGAGTTCCTCGGAGCTTTTAACACACTAAAGCGCATTATGAGTCTCTAACAGGAAACTATAGTTGTGCCCAAATATATACGACCACACAATCATTTCACGCATAACATATTGCTCTAGTCAGATGTTTTTTCTCCTTCCTGGGGTTTAAACTCATAATCAAGTCCATTAATTCCCTTGAGCTTCTTGGAGTCCTGTTTAGTGACTGGCCGTAGTTTCAGTGCTCTGCCCAGAAATAAGCTTCCGGAAGAAGCTAATGTACGAAAACAAATCGGCAGGGGCCCTTAAAGGATGTAGCTCGTTATTGCGACAGCTTTCACATGGTCAAGATCAGGGGCCATCGCGGTGGCTTGGCGGTGAAATTCTCACACTCTGACCTAGCACCGCTCATCAAGCCATGCTGTGGCAGGCATCCCACGTATAAAGCAGAGGAAGATGGGCACAGATGTTAGCACAGGGTCAGTCTTCCTCAGCACAAAGAGGAGGATGGGCAGCGGATGTTAGCTCAGGGCTAATCTTCCTTAAAAAAAAAAAAGTGACATGGTCAAGATCAGTAGCAGCAGCTTTCATGTTGGTGTTCAATGTGCTGGCAGCTTTGGCAAAACCAAAATGAATATATATTTTATCATTTTACCATATCCCATAGACTCATAGAAGTTGACATATGGAAGGTATCTAATGCAATACCCTAGGTCATATTCCAGATTAGAGGCCAAACATCCAGCTGATAATAGTATGCCAAATATTTATTGTTTCCATTATGTGCCAGGCACTAGCTTCATACTCACAACAAGCTTACCAAGTTGCTACTGTTATGACCAGTCCAATGTCATAGGTGCTGGGAAGATCAGAGAGGCTGGACCAACTCTCTGAGGTCACACAGCAGGAGGGACAAGCTGGTGTACTTCTCCACTATGCTTTGCTGCTTCTGGGAAGTGAAGAGACTTACATAAAATCCAGCTATTGCAGATAGGAACATACAGTGTTTGCACTAGACAAATTACTGCTATAATATATTCAAAAGAGTAATATGATCATTTCAAGCAATTACAGAGCATTCAGGTCATACGCTAGAATTGGAAACTGCCAGAAAAACACTGGCGTTTCCATTTTTTCATACCTACAGGTGGAAGTTTGCTGTGACGTTTATTTTAATTGAGTTATACCTACATACTGGAGATCTACCAGGCGTCTTTCTGGAACTTGACATTTTATGCCGCTTGTGACTTTACACACTAGAGTTTCCTTTTGCAGAAACGGGAGCAAGACTCACTTGGAAAAACCTTTGAGCTTTTCAGATTTCAGGGCCCATTCAGAGCACGGCCGGTTCAGAGAGAGAACGTGCCATATTCAGCTGTGATTTCTGCAGTGACGCCTGGCACCCCCGCAGCATTGAACGTTTGAAGATGTCGGGCTCTTAGTTAGTTCCTGCATCTTTCGGGATCCAGAGAAGGAAACATGGGCACAGACCCCAAGAGCGGCCGCTCCTCCCCGGACCAGGGCTGCCTCCAGCGACGAGGATCCCGAGTCACAGCGTTAGGTTATGCCGCCCCCTACTGGCCAGAGTGAGACACTGCACAAAACTCCCAGCAGGCAGGAAACTTGTGATTCAGTGCTTCTCAATTCGATTAATATAGACTCTTTTTAAAGGGGGGGGGGGGGGGGAATCTCTTTTAAATATATCTGCCGTCCCCAGATGGAAAAACACCACTCTAAATTATGCAAACGAGGAAGTTCAGATAGCAAGCAAGCGTTAAATTCTGAGAGGTGCCTTCAGTTTCCATGAGAGATCCCGCAAGGCACAGACGTTATCTTTGTTCTCTGGGCTATGCACCTTGTGTAGTTCCTGCCATAAATCTTGCAGCAATGATGACCTTTCGTCGGGGCACCTGTCTGCTTAACTTTCAGTGTTATTTATAACTCCATTCTTATGGAAACATTCTCTTCCCTTGGCTTCTGTGAAATTACATTTCTCTTCTTTGTCCTCTATATCTTTCTGTCTTTTCCCCCTGAAGATAGGGAAGGATGTCTTTGCCCTGTCTCCACATTCTGTCCTTTTACACTTTCCTGTTATGAGATTGCCTTACTCCGACAGCTTCCGGTATCACCTTCTCTGTAACCCCTTCCCACCTCCACCTTCTACCTCCCGGCGACCACGTCCCCCTGTCCTTAGCACTGTCGCCTTGTTTATAGGTGTCTGTCTCGCCCCCTAGACCTCAGCGATTTAAGGACAGAAGACCATGTCGTAGACATTTTTGAATGATACACTTATTTGTATCACTTGAATTTGAAAATATGCTCAGCATTTTTAAAGGAATCCTCTTGACTAGGATGTTTGAATAAGGGAATTATGACCTAAGAAGACATGTACACGATGAACAGGAATACAAGATGGAACGTGAGAGAGAAACGGCAGGTTACAGAAGGGGATAAAGCCCTGTATTAGGTGACTCGAAGGAAGAGCAATTGCCTCTGGCCAGAGGAGGAAATCACTTTTGAGCCTGATCTGAATTGATAAGCTATATATGTGGGGTTGGGTGGAGGTGTAGTCATATAAGGAAACTGTTCCAGACAAAAGAAATACAAACAAAATAAAATACAAGTCTCTGAGACAGCAAACTGTGAGTATCTTCTATGAGCAAGGAGATGTGCTGTTTTTCCAGAGCCTAAGGTACTCTCAGGGGAAAGAGAGAAAGGTAGATGGGGCCACGTCACTAAAGGCCTTACAAGCCAAATGGAGGGTAGTAGGATATCTTGACCAGGTAGGAGCCGGGGTGGAGTGTCTGTGGGCTGGTGGAGCACAGACGCCCCTGTACCCAGCTATCCAGCTGTATCTCGCTCTTCCATGCGAGTGGTAGTACTTGTGGGAAAAAAAGACTTTGTCTACCCCTGCAGTTTGGACATACGTAGACACACAACTTGGTGTGGGCAGCTTTGAGGAAGGGTCCAGGGGGTCTGAGTCTGACTTGGCAAACCAGGCACAGCTTCGAGCTGCACATGATGGGGGTAGGGGTTCCAAGTGCCCCAGGGCAGCGGGCACCAGAACAAGATGACACCAGCACTGGGGTGACACATGCAACAGTTATGAAAGGGCTGCACGTGGGATTCTAAGGAGCACTGTTGTTACCTCTGGAACACTTGAGGACACAAGCAACTTTTGGAAGGCCACCTCCCCGCCCCCGCCTCAGATCCAGTGTTGAAAGGAGTCAGCATCCTCTTCATCAGACAAGAGCAGTGGTTCCCAAATTTGAGCGTGCCCCAGAATCACCCACAGGGCTCATGAAAGCAGATTGCCAGGTCCCACACTCATAGTGTCTCAGCTCATAGTCTGGGGCGGGGGGGGAGGGGGGTCCTCAAATTTCCATTTCCATTAAGTTCCCAGGTAAGGTTAATGCTGCTGGTCCAGGGACCAACTTTTGAAAACCATTGTCCAAGAACATCCCTGGGAGGAAAATGCTGGGAGTAGACCCTATGCCTGTTCTGTTCAGAATGAAGTACCCAGCACCCGGCAAAGTGCCTGAGACATCAAAGGCCCTCAAGAAATACATGGATGTGTTCACAAACTGTAATACCAGACAGAGGACAGAGATAAAGCCCCATATTATATGTTCATAGGAGGGATGGATCCCGCCTTCAGACGGAACAATGCAGAGTCTAGTATAATAAACACCCATTTGTGTTAACATTTTAATGAGTTCTTAGATTTTTTACAAAAGAAATAAAATGTCACAGATAGAATTCAAGCATAGCCACCAAGTCAGACTTTCCTCCTCTCGTTCCCAGAAGTCAATGTCTTGCATCTGAGACTCCTTCTCATCTTCGTCTTTATATATTTATCATATACATGCAGATTCCATAAGTATGTAGTAGTATTATCTAAAGTCTTTAAATGTCATGAATGTGCCACCTAATGCATTTCACGGTGCACTTTTTCTGTTCATTATGATTTTCTTTTTTAATGTGGTAAAATATACATAACATAAAATTTACCATTTTAACCATTTCTAAGTATACAGTTCAATGGCATTAACCACATTCACCTTGTGTGACCATCACCACCAGCCCTGTCCCAAACTTTTTCATCTTCCTGGAATGAAACTTCATACCTGTTTAACAATAACTCCATTAACGTTACATTTTAAGATTCCTTCATGTTGATATATTTAGAGGGTTTTTAAGTCATTTTAACTGCTATATAGTATTCCATGATATGAATATGCAACATTTTCCCACTCCTGTATTGATGGAAATTTAAATGATTTCCCATTTTTAGCTATGACAACTATCCTTGTATGTGTCTCTTTGTGCACATTCTCCTGGAAGAGGAATTAATGAGTCAGAGGATATATACATCTTTGACTTTACCGGAGAACATTCACTTGCCCTCCAAAAAGGTTTTAATGTCTTCCATTCCTGCTACCACCATAAGACAGCCCCAATTCCCCCACATTTTTACAGCATTTAGTTTTGCTGGACTTTTAATTCTTGCCAATCTAGTGGCTTTAAAATAGCATCTCGTTTTAATTTTCATTCTCCTGATTACTGATGAGATTGAACGTCTTTTCATGTATTTATTAGCCACTCAGATGTCCTCTTTTGTGAATTCCCTCTTTGGAACTTCACCATTTTTTCTATTGGATTGTTTTTTTCTTCTTATTGATTTGTATGCATTCTTTACATATTCTATAAATTGTTCCTTTGTTGATTATGCTTTACGAATATCTACTCCCAGTCTGTGGCTTGCCCATAACTTGGTTTAAGTATATTTTTATTACATAGAAGTTTTAAGTATTATTATAGCCAAATGTAAGGCTATTTCCCTCTTGATTTGCGTTTTTTTGTCTTATTTAAGAAATTCCTCTTGCTCTAAGGACACAAAGATAAACTCTTATACTTTCTTATATAAGTGTAAAGATTTATTCTTCCTCTATAAAACCTCTAATTATCCTATAACTAGTACAATCATATTGCATTGATTTTTGTGTGTGTGAAAAGCATTAATTTATTAAATATATATACTTTAATTATACCACTTCTGTTTGCAATTTAGGGCATTTTTATTTTATTTTTTTGGTATGAATACAATTTCTTTACTAACTACTTGGAAACCATTGGTGTTTCATCGGTGGCGTTTTTAATGTTTTTAAGTTAAAGCTCAAAAAATGGGAGACACACTGGCTCTCACGTTCTTGACCACTGCAGGTCTCTGGCATTCACCTTTCGTGTCAAGAGTGTCCGGCATTGGCTGTGCAAAGGGCGACAGAGGGACCAGTAACTAGGCTTGACCTGCAGGAAATAGAAGCACCTTGGACATCTCCAGGACTTTCAGAGAGGGAGGCACTGCAAAAGGCAGGACTTTCTTTTGGCAGCCAGGTGGCGTCTTAGAGTCTTGACATTGGGTGTTAATAACAATGGGGCTGATGAGTAATTTACCACTGGTCAAGCATGGCTACCTGGGTTAAAAGATGTGGGCCTGACTCCATAGGCAGTGAGGGGCCCTCTGGGTTTTCAGGCTGGGGTGTGGCGTTATCTGCATTGTGCTTCAGGATGGAACAGGGGAGATGTGTAAGAGGGCTGCAACAAGAGTGGAAGCAGCTGGAGACAGTGCTAGGCAGTTCGGGCTGCTCTATCAAAATACCCTAGACTCCGGGGCTTAAACAACAAATATTTATTTCTCTCAGTTCTGGAGGCTGGGAAGTCCAAGATCATGATGCAGATTTGGTGTCTGGTGAGGCCCCTCTTCGTACTTGCAGATGGTCACCTTCTTGCTGTGTCCTCACGTGGCAGAAAGAGAGAAAGCTCTGTTCTCTTCCTCTTCTACGGGCACTAATCCCACCACAGGGGCCCTCACCCTCCACACCTCATCTAAACCTAATCGCTTCCCAAAAGCCCCATCTCCTAACACCATCACATTGAGGGGGGAGCGCTTCCATATGTGAATTTGGGGAGGTTACAAACCTTCAGTCCATAGCTGAGATCTTGCAAATCATTCAGGCAAATGAAATGTGAATTTAGGAAGAACCAGCAGAGAAGAACAAAAGTGAATGGATTTGAGCAATATACAGAAAAGTAGAATCAACTGGAAGCCAGAATGAACACAGGAAATTACCACCAATAAATTGTCAAGGGTGCACTTTCCCCTCAATGGGATCACAGAATCTTCAGGCCGAAAAGGAACTTAGCGCTTATCCAGTACCGCCACCCATGTGCTGCTTGGATCTGCATGCAAAGCATCGAAATGGAAACACTCTCGCTCACCACGAAGGACAGAGGGGGATCAGCTTTGCTCAGAGGAATTCGAGCTAAAGAAGGCCAAACCTCAACAACATCCAAAACCAGACATGGTCCCTGTGTTCCAGATGTGGGGGCTCTGGGAGATTTAAAATGAAACCTCTTTTTGCCTCTGCCGTTATTTATTTATTATTTCTCCTCTTGTATCCTGTCTAGTTTCGAGTCTGGAGGCGCTGAGGCTGGGTCCACCCTTGAGCCGTTCTCAGCATATGCCAAGCACATTGCTAACAGTGTAAGTGGCAGACGAGGACAGTAACCGTTGGGCAGGATGAGCTCAATTTGCGATTCTTTTCCCAAGTGGCCTCTGACCAGAGGAGATAATTAAGGAAGATGGTGTTATTTGGGGGCCAAGGGTAAAGTCTGCCGTGGATTAAGCATTGAGAACAACGAATGTGAATAAATAGCTGCTTCTTTGCTTGGAGAACAGTGAACTCTAGTTCACTTAGGACTTAAGTCTGGAGCCAATTTTTTATTTAACAAATTATTAGAGCAGGAAATAGACAGCAAGCCTGAAACATACATGCACACACACCGTCTTCCCAACCTTTCTCTTCTGCATCTCTCCCTTCCTTACTTCTCCCTGCACCAAATACTAGAGAAAATTTGGCTTCTAACAATCATTATTTATTACAATGCGACCGTGGCAGAGGATCTTAAACCTGGGGCACAGAGGAGAGCCAGTGACAAGTAATTCAGAAATATGTGAAGGGATGCACCCGAACCAAGGCGATCAAGACTGTTCATTCATTATATTGCAGAATACCCAAAGGACAGGAAGCTGGAAATGGGGAGAGCATATCTGGCTAGAAGGCAAGAGCAGCTTTCCTTAAAAAAAAAAAGAGGGAACGGAATGTTCAAGGGAAGAACAGGATAAGTTATCACGAGTGGATGGATATCAAGGTCTCAGGATTTGGGAGGGGGTGGTCTATGCATTTTTTGGAATTATGTGCAACATCACTCATTTTAATCAGTGGAGACAGGAAGAGAGAGGGATGTGAAAAATGCAAGAAAGAAAAATAATCTGCTTTTTCCCACAGTGTTCTTTCCTGGATCAAAAAGACAAAGAGAAAACTTAATTAATTTTGTAGTCTTTGATACTCTCTGGATGCAAAAAGGGAAATCTTCATTTTACGGCACCAAATTAATCAATTTTGTGCTTAAGAAAAATGGGATTCGCCAGGGAAAACACCACAGCACAGTAGGATCTTGTGGAATGTGGCTATATTTTGGGAGGTGCAGAGCCAGAATTTCGGAGAGCATCCTATTGTTAATGTATTTCCATGGAGAGTACCCCCTTCAACCGACCACACTGGGGGCGTGTTTCTGTCCATCTTCATCAGCGTAGATGCCTCCCTGCATTAGTGCTTAGACTGAGTTTAAATCCTTCATCCTGTCACGAGGCGCCGGTTTGATGAGCCCTCCTGAGCCCAACCTCAGAGCCACATCTGGGAGATGCTGCAGGAAGCAGGCCTCTGAGGGAGCCCCAGGCTTGATGGGGAGAGGAGTGTCCCATGGGAACCCTAGGGGAAGCCTGGAGGGGGCTTCTTAACTATGATCGACTTCAATGAGTGTCCTTCATTTAGAAATAATCAATTCACTCCTTCCGAGATCAAACACAGAAGTGCCAATGCGATGGCTTGAATTTCTCATGATCTTTTTCTTCTTGCCAAAAAAGGTTTTTACGGAAGATTGTAAAAGACCACTGATGAGAATGATGATTATTGAAATTACGGTAGCATTAATGAATTAGTGGAATAATAATGTACTCCTTATTTTTCAAATTTCTCCTCCAATTCCAAATTCTGTTCTCCCACAGCATTTGCCACCAAAGCACTCATTTTTGGGGTCATAGACCCCTTTGAGGAGTTGATGAAAGCTAGGAAGTCTCTTCCCGGAAATGCACAAGTGGACACAATTTTGCACATAATTTCAGGAGGTCCACAAATTCCCCTTCCCTGCTGCTCCCCAAAATCCCTGAGACCTCAGCCCAGCACTTGGCATTACAGCAATTCTCTTTTATTGATTGGGGTTTTAACCTGGTCTCAGTGTCTGCAAACTAGTAGTTTCTCAAAAATAAGGCTTATGGTTGATGTGACTTTTCCAGCAAGAGTGGTGAAATGAGAGAAATGATATTTAGGAGAAGAGAGAAAGCATGTTTATGTTGTGCAAGAAAATAAAATTTTATTTGCCTTCCAGCTATTTCCATTTTTTATTGGGATTCGCATCACCTGGAAATTTCATAGCATGAAAAACAGCCAGTTTCTCAGACAGGGATCTGGAACCTCAGTCCTTGGGAGAGTTAAATTGGTCTGGAAAGACGTGTAGTCACAAGAATAAGCCCAGACAGGGGCCTAGGGGAAAACTGAGAGGGTCCCCAAAAGATCAAGATGCAGCCTAAAATTAGCCTTAGGCTCTTACTTCTTTCCAGAATCCGCTCACCAGGCCAAGGCTGGCTGCGAAGGCACAGACACTGAGGGGTGCCAGGTGCAGGCTCTCTCTCATGATATAGTCCAGGTCACGTTGCTTTCCCATCTGATGTGCCAAGGTCCCATCTTGCCTTCCCAGGTTCTCTGGCCTTCCTAGGCGCTGAACCGATTACCTCTGGCCCTCCTGGGTCTGGTTCTGAATTTCTGCCTTCCCCATAGAAACCTACTTTCGGGAGGGTTCTGAGCTTGGCCCCCAGCCCGAAGTCCTGCTAGCAAATTCTAAGGCTGCAAAGCCAGGCCTGCAGAGGGTGATGGGGTGGTGTGGAAGGAACATTCCAGTAACCTGCTGAGAAGCAAGGGATGGCCTAGGGAATCCTAGTTCTGGCTGAGATGGAGAAAGAGGGAAGAGGGAGGTGTCTGGGAAGGTGTTATCCTAACGGAGCCGGGCATTTTGGGCTCCTGTCTCTAGGTGGAGATTAAGCGATAAGGTCTCAGGCATCTTTGTGACGTCACCCTTGGTCCAGCAGATAGCCACCCTTCCATTCACCCTCATCTGTGTGAGAAGATCATGCTGATGGCCCCACAAGGGGGGAGGAAGAAATAGAGATGCAGGAAAGCAAACCCACCCTATTTGTGGGGGAGCATGAAAAGCTAGCTCCGTTCCTCACTCGCTTGACAACTCCTTGAGCAACCCCATCTGTGCAGTGTGGACTTGGGAGACAGACAGGCTGGGTTCAAATCCAAGTCCTCCACTTTCAGCCTTTGTGACGTTGGACAAGTTACTTACCCTCCCTGTGCCTCCATTTCCTCATCTATAAAGCGGGCATAATAATGATACCTACTTCATAGGGTTGTCATGAGGATTAAATGAGTTAACATAGGCAGAGCTCTTACAACAGTGTCTGGAACAGAGCAAGTGATTTTCAGTGTTAACTGTTATTTCTGTGTTGAGCACAGAGCCACAATCTGTGCACACAGAGCTTACAGTGTAGTGAAGAAAGCAGAAACAAAACAAACACTGCATAATCTGCCAACAAACTTACCTCCCAGAGCCCCCGTCCTCGCTTCCTCTTCTGCCTCGGTCCGCACGCCAGAATCCCTCTCCTCCTCCCTGTCTTTTGGATCTTCATCTCCCTGTCACTTCCCATTCTCATATCTTTAGTCTCTTCTGCTTTGACTGCTTCGCTTTGGCGTACATACCTCTCCAAGATTTTGAGGTTCTAAAAAACAAACTCCTTCTCTTCCCTCTCAGGTGAATGTCCTCTCTTCTTCTTCTCCAACACATCTCTTAAAAGAGGTGTTTATGCTCATTATCTCCACTTCTTCAACTCCCACTCACTCATCAGCCCACTACATCATCTTCCACTCTGGCGTCTGCATGTGAGTATCTTCTCCCAAGGCCACTAGGGACCTCTTAAATCCAATGATCTATTTTCGGTCCTTATCTTGCCTCACTTTTCTGTAGTACTTGACAATGTTGACTCCTCCTACCTTCTTAAATTCTTTGTCCCCAAATTCCAGAATACCACTCTCCTGCCATTCCTACCGCAAAGATACACATGACACAGTCTCTACAAGGAGCTCATGGCTTCTGGAGGAGGGGTGGAATTGTGGAGGAGAGATTAGTTATATGGAATAAGAACTGCAAATCAGCAGGATAGGTTCCACGACGAGGACCAAAATGGGTTGGCAGGGCTGTGTTCCTTCTGGAGTCTCTTGGGCAGAATCCATTTCCTTGCCTTTTCCAGTTTCTGGAAGCTGCCCACATTCCTTGGCTGGTGGCCCCAGTTCACTCTGACCTCTGCTTCCTTTGTCACATCTCTTTCTATCCTCTTGTCTTCCTTTTTTCCTTAAAAAGATGCTGGTGGTTGCACTTGTTCACCCAGATAATGCAGGATAATCTTCTCATCAAAAACTCCTTAACTTAGTCACATCTGCAAAGTCCCTTTTGCCGCGCAAGGTAACATATTCATGGGTGATTAGGATGTGGACATCTTTGAGGGGCCATTATTCTGCCTACCACAGATGGGGTGGTTGTTCCCCCGAAGTAGCCAGAGAACTCTTCAGAGGGAAGGCTCTTGGAGCAGAATCTTACAAGTTTGGTTTTCCTTTGCCAGAAAGGGAGACGAGGTGGTACAAGCAAAGATATGGTGCTTGCCAAGACGCAAAGTGGAGAAAGAGCAGGTGAGCCTGGGGGTGTGGATGCACTCAGTATGGCTGTGTGGCTGAAGAAGAGAAAGCGGGCACCTTCCGGAGATCAGATCAGAGAGGAAAAGGAGAAGCTGGATCATGCAGGTTGTTTGTATTTTTCTGAAATTTATCCTGTAGCTATTATTTACTTGACCAATGCTATCACTTTAGGCTGTGCTCTTGTTTCTTTAAATTTTTCTTTAAGTTGACTCCCTTTTTGTCCTAAATAATAATGTCCATGAAATCACAGGTTTTATATGTCAGTTAAATCTTCTCAATGTGTGTTACAACGAACATGTGACTATACAAATTAATGTTCTTCCACATACCACCTACGATCATCCGTGCACACCCATGAGTGAGAACCGCAACTGGAAAAGTGGAGCCAGAGGCAACGAGAGCCACCTAGGGGTTTCAAGCAGGGAAAGAACACGATCAGGTTGGCCCTTGATAAATACCAATCCGACGGCATTAACCACTTTGGGCTGAATGGAAACAAGTGAAAAGCACAGCAAAAAGACCATAAATTAGGACACTTCCACTATGGTCGAGGTGAGAGATGAGAAAATGAACAAAACAGAACTGTGGGAGTGGAGGGGACGGTCTGGATACGAAAAACATCAAGGGGGTAGAACTGACTGATAATTGTCAAGACTGGAAAGAGCGGGGAGTTGGGACAAGGGCCAAGGTTCTAGCACGTGCAAAAGAGCAGAGAGTTGTCCATTCGCCAAGACAGTAAACGGAGGAGGAGCGATAGCGATGGGGGCAGGGTTGGAAGGAAAATGATTATTTTGGTCTGGAACATGCTGAATTTGAAGGGTTTGTGCAACACTTACCTAAGTGGTGAATGTCTGTGTCTGGGGCTCTGGGGATGGGGGAGTCCTCCGGAATAGCACTGTCTAGTAGAAATAGCCCTTGAGCCTCCTATGTCACTTTAAACGTTCAAGTGACCACATCAAAAAGAAGGTAAAAAGAAACAGATGAAGTCAACAATATATTTTATATAACCCAACACATCCGAAGTATTATATTTCAACATGAATCAATACAAAAAACATTGAGGTATTTTACATTCTTTTCAAGTCTTCAAAATCCAGTGCATCTTTTACATTTAGAGCATGTCTCGATTTGGACAACCCAAGCACTCCACAGCCACACCAAGAGAGTGGCTGCACTGGACAGCTTGACGCTAGAAGCCACGAGTAACGTAAGAAGTAGGAAGAGCCCACGAAGAAAGTCGAAGACAAACCTGATGGACCTCAGTCTTGGGGGCATGTGACTAGGGGGCAAGGACAGTGAAAGAGGAGGGATGCAAAAAGATTCAGTAGTCAGAGGTTAGGAGGAAAATGAGGGAAGAGCTAACATCAAACCCAGAGAATTGCAAAAAGAAGAGTGAGTACTTACTGGCCTCAAATGCCACAGGGAAGTCCTAGGCTAGGCACGTGGGCTCCACACTTAACCCCGTTCCAATCCTGGCTTGACTGCTTACAGCTGGGCCCTGTGGCAGAGGCTGTCGACACCATCAATGCCCAGCCTGCTTCTGGTTTCACCTGAAGCGTTGGGGAGAGTTTCCAGCCCACTGGCAGTGTTCCACCTCCATCACCTGCCTGCCTGGTCCTCCAGGGCTGCTTCTCCAGGGCAGGAAGTTCTGAGTCTCCGTCCACTGCCCCAGGGGCAACCCTCAGCCAATGAAAGATGAGAGTCCATGGATGAGTGCCTCAGCCTTCCAGCCTGCCAGTGGCGTGATTTTAAGGAGATGTATTCGTTTTCTATTGCTGCTGGGACAAATTACCACAAACTTTGCAGTTTGAAACAACACACATTTACAATCTGACAGTTTTGCGGATCAGAATCTGACACGGATCTCACTGGGCCAAGACCAAGGTACCAGCAGGGGTCATTCCTTGTGGAGGCTCTAGAGGAGAAGCTGTTTCCTTACCTTTTCCAGCTTCCAGAAGGCTCCTGTTTTCTTTGATTCATGCCCCTTCCTCCATCTTCAAAGCCGGCGATGTCGGGCCAGATCCTTCTCAGGCTGACATCGCTCTGTTCTCTATTCCCTCTTCCACTTTTAAGGACGCTTGTGGATACACTGGGCCCACCCATATAACCCAGAATAATCTCCTTAAGGTTAACTGATTAGCAAACTCAATTCCTCTTTACCTTGGAACATAATATATTCACAGGTTCCGGGGAATGGGACATAGACAATCTTCTGGGGGCAGGAGGTGCATTATTCCGCCAACCAGAGGGGGTTCCACACAGTTTCTGAGAGAGGCGCCAACAGGGCTGAGCCCCACTACCCACTGTGCTAACCTAATCATTTACATGCTTTTTGGCTTTCTCCCTTTCCTGTCTTATTTTGCCCACTTCTTGACTTGTGCTTCCTGAAACTACCTTCTGAAGACTTCCTTCCCCCAAGTCCTTGTCTCCAGTTCTGCCCGGGTTGGGGGGGGGGACCCAAAGTAAGACAGTGACTTTGGGCAAGCTGCTTAATCAGTCTGAGCCCTGCTTTCCTCCAGGAAAGGAAAATATACAATAGGACTTACCTCAAGGGGATGTTGCCAGAATTCTAAGAGGTGATGGTCAGAAAACACTCTGTACAGTGGGATACATACGTAGATACGTAGCAAGTCCTCAACAAAAGTTAGCTATTGTTGGAAGGGTGGCAGCTGGAGCACAGGCAGGGGACCAGCCTTGGACATTCAGAAGTGGTCCTCCCTCCCAGACACTGGCGTGCTGGTCCAAGGGGTGGGATGGGAACGGTATGGGAAAGTTGGAGGCTCCCTCCCATGGTGTACATTTTCTTCTTGAGATGCATCTGCCACTGAGGGCAGTAAACTGTGGTATAAACTTCGGGGAGAATAACGAACATTAGGAATAACATACTTAAGGATTTTCCAGCTGTCAGAAAGGCCCAGGTGGCACTGGAGATCACACATCTGTAATGGCATGGTCTCCAAGTTCTACGTTTTCTCCAGCCCAGCAAAAGGGCAGAGAACATGGCAGGTGGGAGGGACCTAAGGCTGCATGTTTGTGGGTGGGTGTGGTCAAAGAAGGGGAGGTGCAGGGGACCAGGCTGCTGAGCTGACCAAGGGATCCAGGCTGGATGGAAGGAGAGAGACTGGCGGCCACTATGCAGTTGATGTGCAGGTGTCAGGGAGTAAAGCAATGAGAGGACTATAGGATTGAAGACAGGATGTTGGTGTTTAAGATTTCTAGGAATGAGGAGGTTCACAGTATAGCCACGAGAATGGGCAGCTTATGTGGAGTAAAGCTAAATTTAATAATATGATGTGTCCATTGCCCACCGGGTCTTAGCTCTGATTGGACACTCCCACCACCCCCCATGATCACAGATCAGGGGCCATATCTGAATGAGCATGACTCAAACAACGTAAGGAAGTGACCAGTGTGGCATCAGATGGTGTAACGCTGGATAGCAAGAACCCGAAAGACAGGCGGGACATGAGAAAGGCAGGACAGAGGGAAAGTAACGTCACCGAAGCTAGCAGAACGTGGGAAGCAGATGAACGGGCAGCCTCCTGCCCTCTGGGTTTCTGAGAAAGCAGCATTCTTTAGTGCAGTGTTCCCCTAAAGCACCACCACCACCAGGTGAGCCCATCCAAAGCATGGATTCTTAGCACCTCGTCCCCCAACGTACACCTCAGACACGCTATATTGGTTTCCTGTGGCTGCTGTAACACATACCACAGACTGGGTGGCGTAAAACAACAGAAATGTATTCTCTCACAGCTCAGCAGGCCGGAAGTCACAAATCAAGGTGTTGGCAGGGCCATGGCCTCTCTGATGTTTCTGGGAGGGTATCTTCCTACTTCTGGTGGTCGCCAGTAATCCTCGGTGTTCCTTGGCTTGTAGCTGCCTGACTCCAATCTCTGCCTCATCTTCATGTGGCCTTCTTCCCTGGGTCTCTGTCTCCAAATCTTCCTTTTGTTATAGCTCATTGGATTTAGGGCCCATCCTAATCCAGTATGACTTCATCTTAACTTGATTACATCTGCAAGGATCTTCTTTCCAAATAAGGCCCCATTCATAGGTACTCGAGGTTAGGACTTCAACATATCTTTTTTGGGGGGGGGGTAGGAGGGGGGCACAATTATTAAAGAAAAAACTATTTGTCACACTTGTTAAAGATGGTAAGGCAGACTTTATTCAGGACTATTGCAATAAGTATAGGGCCACTGTGCTGGAATTTTGCAGTGGGGGAGAGAGACTATGCTCAACTCTGAATACAGCATGGGCAAGTGGGAATTTGCAGCCAAGGAGCAGGTTGGCGGTCAGTGGATGGGAAAGGACTAAGAGACATCAGGGCTGAGGGGGATCCTGTCTAAACCGACCTACCAGGACTCTTGCTGAAGGCAGGCCAGGTGATCAGATACCCATCTTGCCAAAACTGGATTTTACAAGGAAGTGTACAGTTGGGCCTAGGAGAAGTTTCAGGAGCCCGACTAAAGTTTGGTCAAGCAAAGAATCTTTATCATAATTCAACCCATTACACCTGCTGGATATAATCTTTGGAGTGGGGCTGGTGAATTTGTATTTTTAACAAACCTCCAGCAAGTAATTCAACCCAGGGGAACCATCTTTCAAGTGGAGCCAGGAGGACCTGAGAACTCAGGGGAGATGGTTCCCAATGGAATGGGGCTCTGATGAGGCCGCTGGGGAAGGCTCATGGAAAGGATGGCAGGAGAAAGAAGGCAACAAAGGGAAGCACAGAGTGAGGCTGGCGTTTATAACAAAGGAAGGGAGAGACAGAGATCTGGTGGGATATCCAGCCGCAAAGTTGCAGACTAGCTCCAGATGAATCCAGGTGTTTGTGGCTTAGCCAAGAATCTATAGCCTCCACTCAGGAGACTATGACTAAAGTTGTTCTGGAGCTGCAGCCCCCAGGGCTGGGGGAGGAATGATTCTGAGCATGCTAACCTCCCACAGACCCAGCAGCAGTCAGCCTCTCGCTCGCTGGCCCAGCCATCCCATTTTGGAGCTCCGCAGGGCTCTGTCCAAGGTCTCTTTCACTTTTTTCCTGAACTCTCTCCCTCCTGGTTCGTCTCACCACTTTCCGAGGCGTCAAAGTCCATTTATATGCTGATGGCACCCACATTTGCATCTCAAAGTCAGAGCTCACCCCCATCCCAGGCGCCAGACCTAGTTTTACCAACTGCCTTCTGCCTAGAATATCTGGGAGGCCCCTGAAATTTAACATTTCCAAACCGGAACTCACCCCAAAACTTGTTTGTCTTTCAGCAGTTCCTATTTCAGTTGGTAGCATCACCTCCCACCCAGGGCCCCCAAGCGAGAAACGTGGGGGTCATCTTATGCTTCTTTCTCCAACCACACATGAACTCACCTCAAATCCCTTTCCTTGTCTGCTTTCCCACTGCTTCAGTTCCAATATCCTTGACTCCATGCTTGACTAGCACAATTACCTGCTAACTGGAGATGTGGTCCTGGTTTCCCCTCCAGGAGAGGGCATCCTCCCAGATGTGGTACAGCCCCCATTACAAGCTAAACTTGTAAAAAGCAAATCTGATAAGCTCTGCTGATTACAGCAAAAATACTAAACTCCCTGGCGTGACCCAGGCATCTTCACAGAGGGCCCTACTCACTTCTGTTGCATCATCTTCCTCCTAATCGCCCCAATTATTTTTTTCTAGTTGTGACTTTTTTTGCTAAAAAACAAACACACAAAACCAAAACCCCACAACAAGTTACAAAATCAATTTTAAAAGGGAAGGGAGGAGGGGAATAAAGATATCTACCCTTCTTCCTTGATGCCGGAGTCTGGAGTGTTGCCTGGGGTTGTGTGGACCTGTCTTCCCAGGTGATTCAGAGGCAAATGCAGGTTTGTCAACCACAAGGTGATGCCATTCTTACAAGAGTCCATAAATCACATTAAAGAACCCAGGCGACCACATTCTTTCCTAACTTACGGTAGTACAGAGAAAGGACACAGCGTGGAGAAGCTGCTATCAACCTGGTCTTCTAGGTTGCATCACTTTTTGGATCCTCACTTAGATAAAAACCCTGGGGGAATGTCAAGCAGAAATTTTAAAGAATTAAAAAGGCATCTGCGCAGCCCGCAAAGCTGACGCGCAACCTAAAGCACCGTTCGGTTACCAACAACAGTTCTGCTCAGAAATACATTTGGACAACGCTGCACCACTCTGGAAAAGTTTGGTTGGCGTTCCTCCACACTCCTCGGTTTTAAGGGAAGCCCTAAGTGATGCAGTACGAAAGCATTTTCGCTTTATTTCAACCAGCAGTGCATTAGGAAGTTGAAAACCTGGAAAAAGTAATTTCACAAGCCGAAGCTCTCCTATCGGTGTTAATTCGAACCCATACGCTATTAGGCTGCCATGTTTACTTGGACATGTGGAGAGCAAACAATGTAACTGAGGAACCTTAAGCTCTGACTTCCTACCAAGCACATTAAAGGTTCCAGAAACTGCAGGACGTTTGCATATTCATCAAGGCTCATCTTAACTCCCGAGCCGGGCTAAACAATAGAAGGGAAGAGACATGGAAGTCATTATTAATCAATCGCGCCGGTTGTTTTTAAATCTTTCAGTGTAGCAGAGGCGGCTACACTGCTCCGGGTCTTTCCTCTGCTCCCTGTCTTTTTCAAATTGTTTCCACGCTCATTGTCTTCCAGGACAACGCGACGCGAGCGCTCGGGGAGCAGGTACAGCGTCCCGCAGAGCGTAGCGCGGTTGAGCCCGGGCAGGTTCGGGAAAACATTCCCGGCCCTTCCAGCGGGTCAAGGAAAAGTAGGTGGCCTGGGCGCCAAAGGCTGCTGCCAATGCAACTCGCAACTTTTGAAATCAATCCTTTTTGCATCATGCAACGGATGCCACCGCTCCTCGGGTTTGCAACCCCCCACCCCTCCCCCGAGACCAATCATTGCCGCGCTCGGGCCTGCACATCGCCCCCGCCCCCTTCCCGGGCCGCACGCAGCCACCGAGCCGCTCCGGCCGCGGCCCGCCGCCTCTTAAAGGGAGGTAGCCGGCCCTTAAAGGCCCCTCGCGCGCGGCGCACGGCGGAGCGCGGCGGCCCCGTTCCCGGCAGGGGCCCGCCGAGCCAGGCCGAGCCCCCGCGGCGCCCAGGCGCGGCCCGGGCCCTCCCGCCCTCCGCCGCCGGGAGCGGCATTTTTATTCAGGCGACGCTTAAGGGAGCCCGGCCGCGCCCGGTGCATTGTGGGAGCGCCGGAGCCCCGTTCGCGGGAGGAGGAGGAGGGCGCAAAGCGAACCGGTAAGCGCCTGGCTGGGGAGGGGGGGCGAGACACCAGGCTTAAAGGGGAATATTCGTCCGCAGGCCCATGGCGGCCGTGCAGATCCCCCTCCGGGCCGCCGGGGCCCGCCGGGAGCCGTGCACGGCCGGCGCGCTCCAGCGCTGCCTGGAGAGGGGCAGAGCCAGGGCTTGGTGGGGCCGCTTTAAAAAAGAAGCACCGCCCGCGCCGCCGCCGCCGCCGCCGCCGCGCGGAGCCGGGGAAGGAGGGAGGGAGGAGGGCGGGGGAGGAGTGGAGGGGGAGGGCGGCGGCGGCGACGCACGGGTTAATTTTTTCGCCCGCCGACATTTTTGCGCGGCGGCGGCGGCGGCCCGCGTGCGCGGCGGGAGAAGCCAGCCCGGTCCGCTGGGCGCGGTGCGCGGCGCCTCCGGGCCCTCCCGCCCCACGCGCGCGCCCTCCGGCCCGCGGGCGCCGCCGGACCCTGGGCGCCCCGGCCGGGCCGGGGTCCCGCCGCGGCCGGTTGGCCTGCGCCGCGCGCCCTCCCGCGGCGGGGGCCGCGCGCCGTTCCCGCCGCCGCCGCCGGCAGAGCGGGCGGGCATGGCCCAGCTGGCGGCGCCGCGCTGCCTCCGCCCGGCCGCGGCCAGCCCGCCGCGCCGCGCCGCACAAAGAGCCCGGGCCCGGGTCGCCTTGGAAGGCGGCCGCCTGAGCTCTCAGGTGTCCCCGAGTCCCGGCCTCCGCGCTCTGGCTGCCTCCTCGACCGGTGCTGCATGGCGAGCGCCGGGCCCCTGCGCCCGGGTCGCGGCGTCCACCCCATTGTTTATTCCCTGGGCTTAGGGGCTTGGGGGTAGGTAGGTACCGGGCTGGGGCGGCCCTCGCCACCCCCACTTACTGCGCTCCCCCGGCGGTGCGGCCCGCTTTGCGTACTCTTGTTGGAAAAAAAAAAAAAACAAACCCAAACGTGGCCGAGAAAGAAAGGGTTAACCTTCGTCTTTAAATATTCATGTCATTGTTTTAAAGGTGTAAACAGGCGGCTTTCAGGGCTGGAATTGACAGCCTCTTATGATGCAAATTGGCCCCCCTGTTAATTACTCGTCCCCCGCCGCCCCGCAAGCATCCCCTTTTCTCATTCCCCCCCCCCCGAAAATGTAAGAATATGTTTTTTTGAAGTTCGAGTGTGTGTGTGTGATTTGTGTCTCTCGTTCCTTTTGGAATTTTAAAACTCCTGAGTGCCTTCTGGACTTAGGGTGTTTTAAACTTTTTTCCCCGTAAAAATTGGGAAAGATGTAAATTATGCTTCAAAGGAAGTTAATCCTCCAGATGCCAAATTCCCCTCCCCGCCTTTTTTTTTTTTTTTTTGGATAGAGGTTGGAGGTAGGAAAATAACTGAATGCCTCGTGAGTTGGATTTTTTTTTTCCTGGTAGGAGTGAGGCGGTGTTAAATGCGAGGCATTTTGTGAGGAAAAGACTGTTGTTTTTGTTCCAAACCCTTCCAAGTCAAAGTGGTTTTAGACTTTTCCTAACTCTAAAATGGCTTCAGAATTCCCATCTCGGTGACTGGCTTTGCTCGCCTGCCGCCCTCGTTTTGGGCAGGTTGTTCACGAATGCTGAAAGGTTTACTCCTGTAGGTTGTAGGTTTCAAACCGAAATCAGTGCTCATCCCAGACATGTTTTTGTAAAGTCCGTTTGGATTAGTGCCCAAACGCGGGCTTTGTGAGATTTATTTTCGAGGAGCTATGTGCTTCCCAGGGATCGAAAACTCTATAAATGGGAATTATGTTCTTAATCATAAATTTTATAGGGGAAACCGACCCTAAAACTTGGGGCGTCTGTAATTCTATGCCCAATAAAGTATCAATCTGGAGGTTTGTAAACCCTAGGAGCACATGTCAGTTTTTGGTTTAGCTCCAGAGGCTTCAAACTTAGGAGGGCTTGTTCCAGAAACTTCCGGTGGTACCAAGTACCATAAATGCTAGTGATTTAGTACGGTTTAATTTATCGTTTTAGTTCTGCAGTGAAATGGTAATGAGCAGTAGCGTGTTTTGTCAATGCTGTGTGTGTACTAGTTTATTGGGTGGGATGTTTGCTTTCTAGGAAATAGCGCTGCATTAAAACATCAGAGAACTTTCCACCGCTCTCTTTGAAGAAAATAAACCTCGCTGTGTTCAACAGCCATTCCAGTTTGCAAGTTGTGTTCTGTAGTGAGGCCTCCTATTAGTTTTGGATCGTGTTGTGTACTTTTGGCTCAGAGTGAAAACATGCTTTCCTGAAATGAGTCTTAGCATCGTGAAGAATTTCATGAAACGCGTTTCCATCAACATCCGTTTCCCGCTGAGTTTCTATGAGGCATTTTATAGCTAAAGCTGTCAGAAGGTTTTCCAGAGAAGTCACTTTAGCCGGAGTGTTTAATTTCTAAACCATAGTGCTTCTAGGTTGACAGATGAAGCGACTTAGATGTGTTCTCACAATGTTGCCTGCTAGAAGCAGCTTTGGGGCTTAGTGTTCAAGGTGGCAGTGTGTCGTGGAAGCTTGCCAGCCCGTAGTTCCTTCTTCAGAGGAGGTCTTCCTCCTTGCCCCCCTGAACCACAGTTATAACACAGTCGTTAGATCTTCTTTGGCAGAAGATGTCTGTGATGGTGTCGTCACTTTGTAAAATGACTTGCTTTGGCTTATGCATCCCTTGTGATGAGCTGTTGTGGCCCAAAATCACTTTCCCTGTGGTCCTGGTGATTTTAGACCTTTTCACGTTTATTTTTCACCATCATGTGTTTGCTTGATGCTTGGCAAGTACCGGTGAGAATTCCTTAAATGCTGTCTTTGTGTTTTGGTGATACCTAGGTGGATCTGTCAAGAAACCAGCCGCTAGGAGAGGGAGGGGGGGAGCCCGGCTGTGAGGCGTGTGCGCCCAAGAACCATGTCTACGCGGGAGTCCTTTAACCCGGAAAGTTATGAATTGGACAAGAGCTTCCGGCTAACCAGATTCACGGAACTGAAGGGCACCGGCTGCAAAGTGCCCCAAGATGTCCTGCAGAAATTGCTGGAGTCCTTGCAAGAGAACCACTTCCAAGAAGATGAGCAGTTTCTGGGAGCAGTTATGCCAAGGCTCGGTACGTGAACCGTTGTTTCTTTGTACTTTCCTGAGCAAAGCATCTTGGCCTGCGGTCCAGTCAGTAAGTCGAAAACCAGATTTCTGTCCTCCCATGTCGCTTTTCTTTTCCCCCTAATTTCTGTAAGAAGGACTCAGAGCAAAGCAGTGGTAACTGTGTTACGTTGTTGTAACTGATTTGGAGGAAACACTTAAGTCTGCGATGGAGACAATTATATTACAGTAAAAGCATTTTCTGTGAAATTGAATTTTCTGGTTAGCTGAGGATTACAGAAATTCCTTTATGTCTTTACCTCAAATTTTCCTTAAAATGCTTGTGTTCTTTTCATCGCCTTGGGAAGGGTAGTACTTAAGCATCACTGTGCAGTACTTTCGGAGCAGTGACGGGGCAGGGGGAGAACTTGGGGGTCCTCTGTCGTGTGCACTGTGTGAAATGCTCCTGTGGGGAGGAGGGGAGGAGAAGCCTGGACTGAATCTGTACTTGACCCCAGGACGTCATCTGGAATGGAAAGCTGTGTTTTCTTCTTGACTAAATTCCTCATGTCATTAGGGGTTTGCCTTTTCCCAAACATAGTGCTCAGAAGGAAATTCTAGGCTCTTGGGATACTGTTTGTTAGCCTTTATTGTGTGGTTTGTTAAGTACGTGATGCAAGACCGCGATCACTTTGCTTTTTGAGTGTTTAGTGTGTATTCTAGAAGGTTGGAGTATTTGTTTGTTCGTTTTTGAGGAAGATTAGCCCTGAGCTAACTGCTGCCAATCCTCCTCTCTTTTTGCTGAGGAAGACTGGCCCTGAACTAACATCCGTGCCCGTCTTCCTCTATTTTATATGTGGGACACCTACTACAGCATGGCTTGCCAAGCGGTGCCATGTCCGCACCCGGGATCCGAACTGGTGAACCCCCGGGCCGCCGAAGGGGAATGTGTGCACTTAACCGCTGCCCGACTGGGCCAGCACCTAGAAGGTCAGAGATTTTGTAGTTACGCTGTGTGACTTGATCAGCTTTCTTACATAGGGTTTTTTTTTAAGATTGGCACCTGAGCTAACAACTGTTGCCAATCTTTTATTTTTTTTTCTGCTGCTTCTCCCCAAATCCCCCCAGTACATAGTTGTATATCCTAGTTGTGGGTCCGTCTAGTTGTGGCATGTGGGACGCCTCCTCAACGTGGCCTGATGAGCCGTGCCATGTCTGCACCCAGGATCCAAACCGCTGAAACCCTGGCCTGCCGAAGCACAGTGTGTGAACTTAACCACTTGGCCATGGGGCTGGCCCCTTACATAGGGTTTTTATTTCATTTATTTCCGCCCATCATTTTGTTGTGAAGTCCTGTCTTACAGCATTGGTTTTGAACCCAGGGTGTTCCCTCTTCGCCAATCTCTAAGGCAGATCAAAGCAGAGTTGCTTTGGTTGGGAGAGAGGAGGACCCACAGCCCGCACTCCCAGGGCCTGCAGGGCTCCTGGGAGCTCAGTTTGAAAACCGTCCTCATCTAGCTGATATCTAAGCTGTGGAGAAATACCTTGTGAATGAGTTGGAGAATGTCGGCTAACTTGTCAAGAAATAAGAAAATACTGAGAAAGCTCTTAGATAACTTTGTCAAGAAAAATAAGCTACTTGAATGGGCAAAAACAAATGCAATAAAAACCTCATGGATAAAGTAATAACTCCTCTTTACAACTTCCCCCTGTTGATCTTACTGAGCGCGTGGGCACGCCATGCACTGTGAAGCGCTTTGATAATGGGTCGGGTCATCTGCTCCTTCCAGCAGCCTCAGGATGCTCAGGAAGGCTGGGTAACCCATTCTGTCCCTTGATTGGGGTCAGGACCTGGAATCCACATCTTCCAGTTCCTCCACCCACCATACTGCTTGTCATCTGGCTTCTAAGTCCAGACGTGTCATGGTGGGGAGAGGAGCTCCATGAGCTGCCATTAGCACCGCCGAAGGGGCCGGCTGTCTGACGGCAAAGGAAGAGGCAGGAAAGAGCAGATGTCAGAACACAGAGTGCGAAGGAGTGTGGTCACATACAGCTTTTGAGAAGTAAATCAAAGCCGTGACCCTTTTGCAGAAAAATGCACATCCACAAAAGTTTGCATTTGCGGCATCCTTGAGGGGTAGATGGACCCCAGGTTACAAGCAGATGGATGCTGAAGGAAGCAGAGGACGTATTAAAACCTTGTACAGAAGCGGTCTATCTTGATGGCTGAAACTTTGCTTTGGGGTCAGATCTAGATTCATATCCTGACATAGTTGCCTACTAATCACTACTGTTACTCTGTGCACATTACTTAACCCTCTTGAGCCTCACTTTCCCAGTCTGTACAATGGGATGCTAATGTTTACTGTTTGCAGTTGTGTGAGTACCAGAAATTATCTGTGCATGTAAATGTACCTTGTATATCTGTACTCACATACACAATACATATGTGTGTGTGTATTTATGTTTGTATATGTCTACACACACAAGTGTCTTTATCTGTCTTTAAATTTTTCCTAAAAGGATGTCGTATTTCCCGGATTCCAAGATGGCATTAATTAAAAGATGAACCATAATAGCTTTTAAACACATACATGTTTATTAGATGTATTCTAACTAATTTAGGTATTAAGTGTATGCATTCTAAGAAGCAGGTGAAATTAATTCTAATATATTTTATTTAATCCAATATATAAAAATATAATTTTAACACAAAATTGATCTAAACCACATTACTAATGAGATGTTGGGGTTTTTTTGGTACAAGTGTTTAAAATTTGGTATGTATTTTATATTTACAGTGTATTTCAATTTGCAGTAGCCACATTTCACATGCTCAATAACCTCACGTGGCTGGTGACTACCATATTGGACAGCACGGGACCCTCATTCTAGTATGTAGTGGTGTCATGGTTGTGAGAGAGGACATGTGGACACTATAAGCTCCTCTTCAGCCCGGGGAACGTGCTCAAGAATCATCAGTTAACATGCTCTGATGCTAGGTATACATAGAAATTACAGGCTTTACAAACCAAATATATTTAATTCAAATTTAAGATTACCCAAATCAGAAACATTTAAAGCTCATATTCAGCAACGGGTATTTTAGTTTCTCTTTCAGTAGTCCTGTAGTTTATATGAAAACCTAAAAGAAAACCATATTTCACTCTTTTCCAAAGTGAATAGGAATATACTTGGAATAACTGCTTGTTGGAATCAGAATCAATATGAGTTAAGTTGTGGTTCTTGCCCCGTTTTCACCCAAGTGCCACGGAACGTTGTTAGCTGGAATTTCTGAGAGGCTTCGCGCATACACTGTTTAGATGAATTATCGCACACCTTCTGGACTAAAACACAAAAACTGATCACTGGTAAAGTGCCTTCCATCATCACAAATTTGTGAGACTTGCCATTCTGAAGCGAACTCTCCATTCCCTAACTGGATCTTCCAACAAGAGTTTCTGCTTTGCTGTCTAGTATAGTAAAAACATCAGCCTGTCTACACAGAGTCTGCCTTTTCACTAAACTTGATTTTATTTTTGCATAATAATGGGCCAAGACCTGGAAAATAAGGCGCCTCTGTGCCCCGGCCTCTGTTGGGCATGTCGCCATCACGGCGCTGAGGTGGTGGTGCCGTGGCAATTTTACTATTCAGAATACGAAAGGTACCGTGTACTCGTTCCAGTGTGATTCGGATGCGATTCACTCCTGTTTCGTTTGGAATTCTGAACTGAGAGGAGAGCATCCGCTTGCTTCCTTCTGTACTTCATCCTGATTTTTTCTCTCCTGTTGGCTGTTGGGTTGCAAAGTTGAAACACTTCCTAAGAGGGCAGGAGGGCATCCTTTTGAGAGGTGTAGAAAGGCACCCTGTTTATTCAGCTTACTTGGTGGGAAGGCCACTCTGAGTTTGCAGAATGTCTGCATTATAGGTGATTTTTAATGAAATGTAGCCTACAGTAGCTAGTCTTGACTATTTCTAAACTGATTTCAGGAAAAGGTAATTATTTCTAATTAGCCCATCAGTTGTCTGTATTATCTTTCTAAATGTTTAGAGACAATTTTTAATAAATTGAGGTATTTCCCACAGGCTTCTTTAGTTTTTTTCCCCGTTCATAGTATAAGTTAGTAAAGGTGACATTTATAAGTTTTTCACAAGGGGAATAACATGGAATGTTAAGGTTTCCCCCTAAAAATGCTTGTAGGGGCCAGCCTGGTGGCCTAGTGGTTGGGTTCGCGCACTCTGCTTTGGTGGCCTGGGGTTTGCAGGTTCAGATCCCAGGCGTGAACCTAGCACCGCTTGTCGGGTCATGCTGTGGCAGCATCCCATGCAAAGTAGAGGAAGACTGGCACAGATGTTAGCTCAGCAACAGTCTTCCTCACCCAAAAAAAAAAAAAAAAAAGCTTTTGGGAATCCATATGAGAGATCACAGATGCCACAGTGTTATGTACATGGTTGATTGGAAATGATGAATACCTGTTCTGGCTTTGTCTTTTTCCTTTTTTTTTTGGCATTTTCAATTTTGACTAAATGTTGAAGTAATAATAGGATTTTCTATGTGTGAAATATTTTACAGATTTTCTTGTGGGAAAACAGACTAATGCCTAAAGATTCACTCTAAGTAACTAGATAAGACGACCCAAGTGTGCCATTCTCATCTTTAGAGAAATTCTCTGTGGTGCCAGCCACATGATAGAGTAACACAAAGGAAAATTTCTATTCAGGGCATCATTAGAGTGTAAAAGTTTACCACACTGAAATTGAGCCGTCATCACTGACAAATTTTATTCTCATTTTCTGTCTTAAGCTAATTGTATGTTTCATGTTTATTTCAATTATGCTTCTTGATAGGAAACACATTGCTTTATTGGCAGTGTGCGGTGTTCCCTAAGTATCTTCTACACAACTCTTCCTGTTCAGAACACTGATGGTGTAAAGTGAAATGGCGTTTCCTTTTGATTTTTGGATGACGCTGACCTCCGTCTTTGCAGGCATTGGAATGGATACTTGTGTCATTCCTTTGAGGCATGGCGGCCTGTCCTTGGTTCAAACCACGGATTACATTTATCCCATCGTCGATGACCCTTACATGATGGTAAGTTTGACCTCGTGTGTTTTCACATCTGGAGCAGCAGTTCGTTTGGTTGTGGGTTGTGGGGGGGGTTTTGTGTACGTGTGTGGGCTTTTTGTTTTTGTTATAGCCAAATTGTCCTCATTCCACGGCTGCTCCGACTCCTGCAGTCACAGCAACTGGATCTGTCTCCTGCGCACGCTTGGTCCCGAGCGTGAAGCAGTGAAGGTAGACGTGGGGAGTCCTCTGCTGCTTTTGGACCTGAGTGCGTGTCTGTGCAGGAGCACCTGTTGTCTACTAAGCATGTCTACTGGCTGACGTGTTTGTAGTTTTCTTCTTTCATTCCTTGTCCCTTTTCTTCTCTGACATGTGTAAACTCCTGTGTTTCAGGCTAGAGATGTTACCATACTCTCCAGTAGGACTGATCCTAGATGTTTCCTTCCAGAAATAAGGAGCTTAGCATGTCATCACAATTCAGCATCTTGACCACTTCATCTGATTCTGGTCACTCTCCCCATCACTGTGTTATATGCCACGGTGTAGACTTTGTATCTGAACTACTGAATTAAAGTTGCTGTCACTGATCATGCTCTGCTGAGATGGTTTCCACATCGTTCACTGCACGGTTGTAGCCAGCACTCCCCAGTCTACGTGACTATAACCCCTCCACCCCACCAGCCAAGGGGAGCCGATGGCGGCACTGGGAGTGTCCTATTGTCATGTAATTCCAGAGGTTCTTCCTGTGCGCCAAGGGCACTTGGATCAAGCTGCACACACGGGAACTTGGCCATGAGGTCGCCAAATGGGGGGAGGGCGGTGTTCACCTCTTAGATGTTACTAGAAACCAGTTTGTCCTCTGCATGTCCATCTGCTCTGTCCTCTAGAGCAGGACTCCTGAGACACTGAGGTATGCCATACCCCAAGTTTCCCACATGACTGGGTGGCAGAGGTGGCTAGACCCAGGATTCATCCTTTTCCCAGCATCTCGTGAAAGCATCTGAGAGAGCCCGGAGCAGGAGGGGCAGTGAATGGCTGCAGCCCTAACCAGCGGTTGGCACCTTGTTACATTACAAGTCACAAACCACCTGTTGCCCTTGTTACATTGAACGTGAGTCGCAGAGCGCTACTGAGCGCACTGCCGATCTGCCAGGAAGTCATTAGCAAACCTTAGACAAGCAGCGAAACGGCTGCTGAAAATGATACTACTTTGGAGTTTGATTATCCTTATGGCAGAAGAAAAATGCATCATTTTCTTCTTTAGTGTCGAGGCAGTGGCAACTTAGATTTAAAATATCTCCAAGGGTGATAAAAAAATCTTTGTTACCACATTTTTAATAAATACTGTTCTAAAGTCCTTTAATAAAATCATATAGTTGATTGGGAAATGCTCCTCTTTTTCTTTAAAAAGACAACCTAATTTCAAGCCTGGATGTGTTTTATTTCTTGCACTTGTTTGGTTTCTCAAACAAGATGATTTCTCTGTTTATCTCCTACAGCCTTGAAAAGAAACTGCAAAAATTTTTCCGTTTAAGTGTATAGAAACCATCCTCTCTATAATTGATATAGTCAGTGCTTTTTTAGAATCTGTTTAGGATAAGTGGCTGTTTCCAAGTTTGCTTCAGCATGGTTGTTTTCAAGCTTTTTCACTCCATAGCTCTTCCTCCCAAACCATCGGCTCCCACCTTGCTTCCCCCTGACGTCTCCGGCGCTCTCCGTTCCCCATCTAAGTAAACTGCAGCCTTCTCCCAATATTTAGAATGGGAGAGAACATGGAAACTGTTTGTTCTGCACAAGGAAGAAGAGATGGTGACAGGAACATCTGAGAGAGTGAATGGCCTAGTGGTTCTGTGATTAAGGGCAGGTGGTGACCTGCACGTCCTAGAAACTGAGGCCCACGTCCCTGGAAAGCCCCTGAGCTCTCCTGGGAGGTGCTCGTGGGCTTGCTCTTTGCTTCTGCACTTGGAAAGTCCCCCTATTGTCCTTTCTCACATCTCCCCTCCCTTCCAGGGCAGGATAGCATGTGCCAATGTCCTCAGTGACCTCTACGCAATGGGGGTCACAGAATGTGACAATATGCTGATGCTTCTTGGAGTCAGTAATAAAATGACCGACAGGGTAAGTAGGAGATCGTCTGGCTGCCTGCTGGTCTGTTGTCTTGTTGCGTCACTTGACTGGTTAGCCCTTCATGCCCCCCCCTCTAGAGTGAGGAGCCCAGGCTGCGTGGCTTCTGTATCCCATCCAGCTCTCCACTTTTTGGCACTTAGCGGTAAATTAAAATAGAGTCTGGCCTATTCATATTTTCATTTCTGCCACCTGCTTCCCTTTCTCTCTTCTGGGAAGACTGAAGCCAAGACATTTTTGTTTGTTTTAGTGACGTCTAGGCCACCGTAATAGCATCCCCACACCGGGCTTGTGGACTGGCCTAGCCTTACAGACCTAGGGCGTGTATTAAGCTGGTCCTGGGATTCCTGCGGACCATTAAGGAGCTGGCTCAGGTGTCGGGCAGCCCCGTGCACCCAGTCACATTCCAGCTTTTACTTCTTTGTTTGGGCTTCATTCACGGTGTAACCCAGAGCATCTCCCAGCCTTTGATAAGATGGCTACAATGTAAACTCTTCCCTACTTGTTTCTGTTACTCCCTGCCCCTTCTGGAAACTTTCAGGCCTCCCTTTAGGGTTTTATGATCCTTTTTATAACTACGAGTGTAGACTCTCTTTTCTTGGTTTTGAACTGAATTATGTGACTTTTAATTTGTGTCCTTTTAAACCCTAGGAAAGGGATAAAGTGATGCCCCTAATTATACAGGGTTTTAAAGATGCAGCAGAGGAGGCGGGAACGTCTGTGACGGGCGGCCAAACAGTGTTAAACCCCTGGATTGTTCTGGGAGGAGTGGCTACGACTGTCTGCCAGCCCAATGAATTTATCATGTAAGTGGATTTTGTTTCATGTCACGTGGCCTGTTCTCTCTCTCTTTTTTTTAAATAGATGTATTGAGATATCATTTGCATGCCGTACAGTTCACCCCCTTAAGGTATACAATTCAGTGGTCTTTGGTCCATTCACAGAGTTGTGCAGCCATTAACCAGAGTCGATTTTAGAACATTTTCATCCTCCCAACAAGAAACCCGTACCCTTTAGCTCTCACTCCCTGTTCTGCCTCCCCCCATCCTGGCTTCTTTCACTTTACTTAATATTAGCTTAATATTTTTAAGGTTCATCCATTTTGTGGCATGTGTTAGTACTTCATTAGATTTTTTTCATTGAAGTATAATTATTACAACAATTTCACACAACATAAAATTCAAATTTTTAAAGTATACAATTCATTGATTTTTTAGTATTCTAAAGTTGTGCAACCTTTGCGACTATCCAATTCCAGAACATTTCCATCAGCCCATTAAAGAAACCTTGTATCCATAACCAGTCACTCCCACTTCCCTCCTTCCTCCATCCCCAGGAAACCACTAATCTACTTTCTGTCTCTATGGATTTGCCTGTTTGAGGCATTTTATATAAATGGAATCATACAACGATGTTCTGTGACTGGCTGCTTTCACTGAGCATAATGTTTTCAGGGTTCACCTGTGTTGTAGCATGTATCACTACTTCATTCCTTTTTATGGCTGAATAATATTCCATTGTATGGACATACCACTGTTTATCTCTTCATAGGTGATGGACCTTTGGGTTATTTCAACCTGTGGTAAATGATGTTGCTATGAACATTCATGTGCAAGTTTTTTGTGTGAACGTATGTGATCCTCTTGGGTATATACCTAAGAATTACTGGCTCATGTGGTAACCCGTTTAACTTGAGGAAGCATCACACTGGTTTCCAAGGTGGCTGCACCATTTTATATTCCCAGCAGCAATGTATGAGAATTCCAGAGTCTCTACATCCTCTCTAGTCCGTGTTTTATTGTCTGTCGTTTTGATAATAGCCATCCTAGTGGGTGTGAGGTGATAGCTCACTGTGTTTTGATTTGCGTTTACCTGGTGGCTAGTGATATTGAGCATCTTTTCATGTGCTTTCTGGCCATTTCTAGATCTTTGGAGAAGTTTCTCTTTGAACACAAGGGTCACTTTCCATGTTTGATGTCTTGTTAAGAAAAGCCACACGTCCTATTTTCTGAAGGAAGTAGAAACTCCGCTTATTGTGTGAGTAGGCCCTGCCAGGGGCTGGGCTCACGTGGTTCAGAACTCAGTATAAAAGCCTCTTCAGTGCAAAGCCCCTCACCCATCCTGTATCACCAGTGTCCCTTCCTGGAGGCTCCACTTTGATCAGTCTTGGGTATCTTTAACCCATCTACCATTGACATTCAGATTACTTTCAATTATTTTGACGTTACAAATAGCACTCCAGTGAGTAACCTTATACGCAGGTCATTGTGCACATGTGTGAATCTATTGGTAGGAAAATTTTCCAAATGGAATTGCTAGGTCATGTGTATATGTAATTTGATGGACACTCCAGGTTGCCCTCATAGGAGCTCCATCAGTGTATGCTCCACCAGCAGCAAGTGATGCCAGTTCCCCTGTGTCCTACCCAACACAGTCTGGTAAACTTCCTGGTCTTTGCCAGTGCGTTTGGTGGTTTAAGCCTTACTCCTATGAGTCAAGTGGACCATATTTTTCATATTTTCATATCTTTTGTCCATTTTTTTAATTGATGGGAGCTCCTTTTAGAGCCATTACCGGACAACTTTCATGTTAAGGATCTTGCATTGCTTCCATCAAGGTTTTATTTTCCTATATTTTATGTCTGTAGTTCTGAAACTTTCTACTTAGATGGGACAAAAGATCCTAGAGCCCATCTGTCTCACCCATTCCAGCTTTCCAGTAGAAAAAGAACTTAGCGATAGCAAAAAATCAGAGAGGAAAAATTAATAAAACAAGCTTCAATGAATTTTTTGTCAACAACGTATGTATTTACTTTGTAAAATATGAATAGGCCTATTAGCATGATTATAGTTCATAAAATATTTCCCATAAACTTAAAAATAACCCAGTAATTTTATCACACTTAATTTGTTGATATGAATTTGTAGGTTGCACATGACCAGTGATGTGCAAGAACGTATTGACTTTAAGGTATGGCTGAGCAGAATTGAGAAACATTTATGTCTTAAGGTCTAACTTTTGGAAAATGAGTTTCTTGTATATTGTCACAGAATTAATACTTTTCGAAGCTAACAGTGGATACAAATATTATAGGATGCGTTGGGGAGCTAGTTGGTTTTTGAGTCCATGCCGCTGGCTTTTTAATCAGTTTGGGTGAGTATTTGAGTTGTGCAGCGTCGGGATGGAACAGCCACATGGACAGCTCCTTGAACTGAGACAGGACGACTCCCATGCGAGACCTGCATCCTTGTGGTGAGGATGCAGGTACAAGAGAACTTCCCTTTGGGGGATCAGTCTTTTTGTTTTTAGGGCTGCCTTTCTAGTATCTGCCTTCTGTCTCTATGACAGACCAACCAGGTGCCAAGTAGGAAACTTACTGGTCAGCCTGAGTTTGAAGACTTTGGGGCTGAAATCACCAAAACATCAGACCCACGGATTTGAGCCCAATTCCACAGCCTGAGAAATACGCCCCACATGTCTGTCATAGAAGAGATCATTAAAAAAGCAGCCTTTGTTCCAAAAGTCTTGTTGCCTCGGAACCGTGGTGGGTCTGCATTGAAAAACGACGTGAGCATGGCTGAAGCAGGGCCTCAGGAGGCCTTTGAAGGCTAAGTGATCAGCTTCTTTGTACACTTCTTTTTGGAACCTAGTAAGTCATTGGCCTGTAGGTTTAAGTCTGTGGACTCTTCGATTCTCTTTTACCGTTGTTCCAGCAGTAGCCTCAGTGACGTGTTGCAAGGCTCTGATACGTGGTGGTAGTGGCTTACATTTAAGTAAGTGTTTGCAAAACCAAATGTGGTGTTGTTTTGTTTTGTTTTTTCTTTTCGGTCGGGAAGATTGTTGCTGAGCTGACATCTGTGCTAGTCTTCCTCTATTTTGTACGTGGGGCGCCACCACAGCACGGCTCGATGAGTGGTGTGTAGGTCCAGGCGTGGGACTGGAATCGTGAACCTCACGCTGCCGAAGCAGAGCGTGTGAACTTAACCACTATGCCACTGGCCCAGCCCAAATGTGTCTCTGACAGCCTTTTCTTCCTCCTGTCTAACTGGTAATGAATTTATCTCCTTGGTTAACTTGACTGGAACCTACCCTTCTGTTTTCCTTCAGGCCAGATAACGCAGTGCCGGGGGACGTCCTGGTGTTGACGAAGCCCTTGGGGACACAAGTGGCCGTGGCGGTGCACCAGTGGCTGGATATTGTGAGTGACCCATGGCCTGGGGACGGGGGGCTGGCCAGCCGTGTTAGGGTTGTGGTAGTCTCTGTGGGAAGGTTTGGAGAGAAGGGGCATCCACTCTATGAGTCAGGTCAAATAACGTCTCTCTAGTCTGCTAGTGCTGGAATGTGCTTCTACAGGCACACATAGCTGTTCATCATGGAAATGCTGCTTCTCCTCCATCCAGTAAGCCCTTCTTCCCCTTGGACGTGTTTGAACGTGGCTAAGATCTGTTAGGTCCTCGCAGTGTCAGCAGCTTGTCCTGTAAGACTGAGCCCTTTTAGTTCTCCTACCGGGGAGTTTAGTGTCAGTCAAGTCCTTTAGAAGTCCTAGAAACTGTCCATGCTCCTTCATTAAATCAAAGTTTCGTGTATCGGATGCTTAGAGTGGGTAAGCCCCAGCTTGCGGTTTCAAAGATAGTCCACGAAGAGACTCTGGGGGGCAGCGAGTTCGGCTTATCCAGTGCCGAGAGAACTTTATCTTTTGTACCTTAAACATCACTAAAAAATAAGACGGAGGAGGATGTGTGGAAAGTGTGGTGTTTGGAGTATAAATAAGGCCAGGGATATTGACGGTTTAAATTACTTTAGACATGAGGTTTTTGATTGTTTTTTAAAACTAATTAGTAACTTAGAACATTTTGATGACTAATTACCTCGAGGAGAAAGCATCTAGAATACGAGGTTATTTATCCTGAGTCACTTTTCCACTGAGCTGTTATCATACTGCATTTAAGATTTTTTCATTGCCATAACAACTCAGAAATTAATATGATCGTGGCGTAGTCTCACATATCTTGGTGCTTTTAATTTCTACACCTGTCATCTGAAACTACTGGTCCTGAGAACCAGCTGAAAAAGAAGTTTCTGTTATTCCTCGGCCAGGTGTATGCTGGCTTGATACAGCAGAGCAGAGAGACTCTCTGAGGCTGCCGTGCTCTTTAGTTATGTTTCCTTCTGATCCGGTGACAATCGGGAGTCTCCAGTCAAGTATGATGGTCTGTACATTAGATTGGAGGGGCCACTACAGGGCAGTAATCTCGCAGCAGCTTTCCAGTACAACTGCCCAGGCCCACGTGAGTGACCCAGGGCGGGGAAGCAGCTGAGGCAAGGGAGCATCAAAGAGGAGGCGTGGGGTCCTTCTTGTCTGCCCACCCCCAACCTGACACTGCCTTCATTTTTTACCATTTTTTAAAAAAAATGCTCAGAATTTTAAAGAGCAAGTTCCAAAGACTATGTAACAGCAGAATACCCTTTTCATAAAGGTCAGAAGCAACCAGAGAGTATGTGTATAGGCATCAATACGTATGGGAATAGTATTTTTTGAAAGGCAGAGGAGTGATAAGTATAAAATTCAGAATAGTTATTCCCTCTGGGAGAGATGGAGGGTGAGCGATAGAGGACCACATCGACCGCCTGAAGTTACTGCATTGAGTGGTGGATTACTGGGTGTTTAATTAAACAGTGAATGAGTGATTGCCATTACTAGACCATGATGACAGTATGTTATAAACCCAGCATCGTGATGTTAGATTCTTTGAAAAGCTGACTGAGGAAAAAAGGGAAAGACCCCCAAAAGATACCCTTTGTGGTCACCCAAGGCCGTCCTTGTGCGTGTGCAATTGAAGTTGTTCTTTCATTTGTTTGTCCATCAAGATGACTTGATCCAGAACTCTGGTGAAGTCAGCAAAATTGTAATTGTATGGAAAACGAAAGCCCTCAGCTTAAGAGGGCAGATGGGGAGGGGAAACCCCCCAGAAGGGAAGCTACAGCAGCCCCTGTTAGCACAGCTTTTATTGTCTGCGCCTGGCAGCCGTATGTCCGGCTGCGTTTATGTATCCAGTAAACTGCGGTATCCGACTGCAGAAGTGTGGCTTGAGAAGCGAAAAGATACCATGATGAGATGTCTAATAGACACCTAAAATAACAGTCACGGGAAAAAAAAGTGAGAAAACTTAATTTTGTGTACAAAATTAAATAAACGCTCCAAAACATGACAATGAAAAAAGATAACGTTCTTTCTTTCAGTGGTTTGAAGTAAAAGTTAATCACCTTTTTTCTATCTTGTTCTCTCTCTTCGGTTTTCTCCCTCGTCCATGTTCCTATTAGCCTGAAAAATGGAATAAAATTAAACTAGTGGTCACCCAAGAAGATGTGGAGTTGGCGTACCAGGAGGCGATGATGAACATGGCCAGGCTCAACAGAACAGGTACCGGGGCACGAGGGGCGCCCACTGCACAGGTCGCAGGCTTTCTGAACAGGGCCCAGACGGGACGTCACATTTAGGCTTTGCGGGCCCGGTATGATCTCAGTTGCATATTGACTTTTCCCACAACTCGTCAAGCAGGTTCAAAAAGCCAATCTTAGCTGGAGAAATGGGGTCAGATGCTGCCGGTGACCGCACACCCTCCTCCCTCGGTCTCTGGTTTGGGGTCTGTAGGTCACTAGCAGGGCTCCAAACAGATTGCTTGTACTTGACAGAAATGCCCATTAAATGTGACTTGCATGAGAGAAAATAAATCACCAGTGAGTGGCCCAAACAGGACGTTGGACGGGTCATCAGGTCATGAGCATGTTTTCTCCAGCTCTTTCATCCGTGTGCCCGGAGCTCTGCAGGGCACTGCGGCTGTGCCAGCATCTTTATTCCCCCTCGGGCTGGGAACCTCACAGTGAGAGTGGTACCCGGCACAGAGCAGAGGCAGCGGAAATACGGAGGAATTGAATTCGGTTAATGAACGTGTGAAATGGAGAGTTGAGCTTATATTTTCTCCCTCTTCCTCCCAATTATAAAGTTCTGTGATTATAGGCAGTACTGAATTCCTCTGTGCCCCAGTGAAAATGGAAAAGAAATTTATATAGCATATTTTCAGAAGTATTTGACTTATTTGTTAATTTGAGGTGTTAACATTGTTATATTTTTAATTCCGAGGTTAGTGGTATATAAATGAGGAATGACATTCATGTCATAATTTTTTTTTCTTCACATTTTATTTCTAGTCCTAGCTTCTTAATGCTAAAAAGTAATAATAATATTGATTACCATTTATTTGGTAGTTATTAACATAACCAGGAACTTGACATACTTTCTCATTTTATTCTTAAGACACGCTTCCTTATAAGGTTATTATTATCCTCCTTTTACAGAGAGGTTAAGTAACTTGCTCAAGGTCACACAGCTAATCGGTCGTGGCCCCAGGATTTGAAACCAGATATGCTTGTAATGTTTTGAAACCACTGCTTATAATGCTTTTAAATATTATATTCTATTCTTCTCTTACCGATTTAGTAAGAAATTGAGGCCATTTCACAGTCTTTGTGCGTGATAATTGAACAATACTTCTGTACTATGCTGAGAGTTTTAGAAGGAGTTTAAAATAAAACAGGAAGCTTCAAGAGCCAGAATTCATCTTCTAGAAAGCAGCAAGGCTTGCCTAGGGAATCACTGGATAATAGTTCAAGTGTCTTATACCCACTTCTTAGTGGCTTTCATATGTGTATAGAACATATCAGGTATGTTCTGTGATTAAGAAGGAAGCTCTTCTCATGGTTCTTCGAAGTCCTAACCTCTCACGGGCCAGAGGAGCTGTTTTTAGAGAAGGAGTGATCTGGAAGCAAACCGATGTTTAGTGTCAGCTCCAGCAGGGCAGTGTTCCCAGCACCTAGAAGAGAGGAGGACATGCCACAGGTGCTCATTAAACATGGATGCAGGGGCCTGTCTGGTGGCGCAGCGGTTAAGCCTGTGTGCTCCACTTCAGCAGCCCGGAGTTCGCCAGTTCGGATCCCAGGCGCGAACCTACACTTGTCAAGCCATGCTGTGGCAGGCATCCCACATATACAGTAGAGGAAGATGGGCACAGATCTTAGCTCAGGGCCAGTCTTCCTCAGCAAAAAGAGGAGGATTGGTGGCAGATGTTAGCTCAGGGCCAATCTTCCTAACAAAACAAAACAAAACAAAAACATGGGTCCAGTGAGTGAGCTCTGTGTACCATGCATGAGTCATTCTTGATACTTCATGTGTGGGAACTCTTAATGTTGACCATGGGATCTTAAAAAATCACATCTGATACTCAGATTTTAAAGTTACAATGTGAAAAGAGATTCTTTTTCAACATCAGTCTTTCCCTCCTTTATTAAAAAATAATTTAATAATCCTGTGAATTGTATCTTGTTTGCCCCTTTGGCAGAAAGGAAATACATATAAGAAATTCATGCAGATCCCCTTGTCAAACCTCAGTCTAACTACAAAAACTGCTATTTCTCTGACACCGCACATTCCATCTGCATAAGCTAGTGTTGGAAATATATACAGTTTTTATCCTGAAAATACTGATTTTTCTCTCCTCATTAATTGCATGTGGTATTTAAGGCCTTGGGTTGTGTGGCATCCTATTTTGGAACTTTGAGGATATTTGAAGATGAAGTTCAAGATAAACGTGAAGTTCAAAAATCTTGTCCTAGACAAAGTCACTCTTCATTTAGTAGTTTCTTTGGAGTCCCTTAGCCAGCAATCAGAAATGGATTTGAATACATCTTCTTGTCTTATCCCTTCTGTTCTTCAACTTTCCCCAAATGACTTTGAACAAAACATATGTAATACTTAAGCCATGAAGTCTCTTATTATTAAAAAAAAAAAAAAAAAAAAAAGAACTCTTAATGTTGACCATGGGATCTTAAAAAATCACATCTGATACTCAGATTTTAAAGTTACAATGTGAAAAGAGATTCTTTTTCAACATCAGTCTTTCCCTCCTTTATTAAAACTTTTAAATTAGATATGGAGTTGACACAAAAGAATTTTATAAAATATGTGCAGGACGTATGGAACAACAGTGCAACACCCACGTGCGCACCATCTCATATGAGAGATAAACATCATCGCCTTGGAAGCCCAGAGGCGCCCCTCTCATACCCAGCTCCTGAATTCCTGCTTAGGGGTGACCACTTCTCAGTCTAATCTTGATTCTCAGGCATTTTTTTTTTATTATTATTTATTTATTTATTTATTTTTTTTTTTTTTAAAGATTTTTTTTTTCCTTTTTCTCCCCAAAGCCCCCCGGTACATAGTTGTGTATTCTTTGTTGTGGGTTCTTCTAGTTGTGGCATGTGGGACGCTGCCTCAGCGTGGTCTGATGAGCAGTGCCATGTCCGTGCCCAGGATTCGAACTAACGAAACACTGGGCCGCCTGCAGCGGAGCCCGCGAACTTAACCACTCGGCCACGGGGCCAGCCCCTGATTCTCAGGCATTTTGAAGTATTTTTATTACATAGGCTTGTATCCATAGATAAGTTAGTTTCGCAGTTTTTGCTTTATTGAATCATACCTGTCCTGTGTTTTTCTTGGTGTTGGGTCTACCATTTAACGTTCCTGAGCGTCATCCCTGGTGTGTGCAGCTGTCTTCATTCATTTCTCACTGCTGGTGCATGTGTGTAGGAGGTCAGCAGTGCCTCAGCTTTTCCACATGGTGCCAAATTGTTGTCCACAGTGTTCGTACACCACAGTTTATAATGATGCACTACATTTAAAAAGTTTCCTTAATGTCACTTCTCTTCCTATTTATTTTATATACTTTTTCTGCTCTAAAAATTCATATGTTCACTATAGAAAAGTTTTTAGAAAATGAAAAAAGGAGAGAAAAAACATTGTCCATAATCCCACCGTGCAAAATCAGCTTCTGTTAATATTTTTATGTATTCTTGTAGGATTTTTTCCTATGTTTGGTTGGTTGGTGGTTTACTGTTTTATTGTTAATGTTTTAAACTAGTGGTTATCATATATTTTATGTATGTGGAATCTGCTTTTATTCGTTTAACGTGACTAAATTTTTTTCCATATTATATAATCCTGATACACATAGTTTTTAATGGCTAGATGTTCTACCAGAGAGACATACCATAATTAGTTTACCTCCTGCCTACTTTTGAACAATTTATTAGAGGTTAAGTTTTTCCATAATGTTTTTCTGCATTCCAGGAATATTTCTTTGGCTATATTCCAAAGTTGAACTGTAATTCCTTAATTCTTTGTCTTCGCATGTTCTCATCACTTAGAACTGAGGCTTTTCACTCGTGTTTCTTCTGTTCCTGTGCCACTCAAACTATATTAGGGGTCTTTTCCCTTTTTTGGTCCTTTAGATTAAGTAGTTTAACAATAAGAAAGTGATTTGTAATGGCTTTATTTTTGTCCATGTGGATTATTAGTTTGCTTATATTTGAGCCTTTAAGATTCCCCCATCCTCATTTTTTTACATTATAGGCAGGGGTACAATATGGCAGAACGCTTATGGTGGAGTAATTGGTCATTATCTAGCAAAATAATGTGCACATTTATTTTGACCTAGAAGTCCCACTTCTATGGATCTATCCCTATGCCACAGTAGCCAAAATATGAAATGACATGTGTCCAAGGCTGTTCACTGAAGCACTGTTTATAATTGCAAAAGAAGGAAACAATCCAAATGTCCATCAGTAGGTGACTGATTGAACTATCCAGTCTGCATGCACACGGTGGAATACTCTACAGCTATAAACAGGAATGAGAGGTCGTTAATACCAGGGAGCCATCTTCAGGGTATGATCAAATGAAAAAGCGAGGGACAGAAGCCTGTATGTGTGCTACATTTTGTGAGTTCATATATGAATATGAGGTAGTAATAAGTATTTTATACTTTCAAAGAGAAACAATGGAGAAATAAGTCATTCATAAAAATTGCTACATAGGAGAGGGGATAGGGAAGAAGCACACCCTCTCTGAACATGCTTCGTTTTATAAAGTTTGACTTCGAAATAATAGTTTTCTATAATTAAAAAGTTAAAAAAGGCATATCTTACAAATCTAAACGAAATCAAAACAAAGTTGCCTAACAAATATCGAGTTAGTGGCAAAACCACATGGGGAAGAATTATTTCAAGTTACTTTGAGCCTGGTATTTTCAGTGTATAGCCTCAGGACAGAAACCCACAAAAGTATCTTCTTGTGTTCAGTGTGTTTGTGTTTGTGGGAATGTTGATACAGTAAGATAAAGCAAATAAACTGATGTAGTTAGAAACAAGGAACTTAAGAATAAGAGAAAAGAAAGAGGATCAAAGAAGCTAAGGAAAAACTGTAATCTTTAATTTGGAATTATCCATATAAACTCAGGATTTATTTGTGAGTCTGCTCTTCGAAGAGGCCTAGAAGCAGTGATGACCCAGTAGTAATGAAGTCCTGGTCCCACATTCTGATCTGAAAATTACCATTTCCCACTAAAAAGCCCCAGGACTCCTTGGGGAAATGGCTGATTCCACTCTGGGACAGGAAATACAAAAGAGAAGCCTGGGACATCATTGCCTGAAAGTAATGGAACTTTCAACAACCAGTGGGTCATGCCACTTCACCGTAACTTGAAGAAGCTCCCACCAGTCAACTGGGTGGAGGGAGGAGACAGTTGACAGGAGGAGACAGGAGACATTTTGGGTATCAAAAAGAAGAGTGACTGCAGTCAGTTAAGCATATCAAGTATCATTATTGATATTATTGATATCAATCAGATGTAATATTAATTTTGTTGGTATGATAATGGTATTGTGGTTATGTTAACAAGTCTTTATCTTTCAAAGATACATACAGAATTATTTATAGGTGAAGTGCTATGACTGGGGTTTGCTTTCAAATTAATCTACCCAACCCACACCCCCAACAAGTAGGCAAGAATAGATGAGACCCCAGCAGAAAGGTGGTAATGGGGGTATTGTTGGGTACATGGGAATACATTGTAGTATACTACTGTTTCTACTTTTGTGTTTCATTAAAATTTTCATAGTGAAAATGAGCAGCAATAATTCCCCACACAGCAAAGAAGTGGTAATCAGTACCTTAAAAATGGAATCCCTATTACTGCCTAGAAGATTCAGTGTGTCCTCTTGTATACTCTGGTCCTCAAAGCTCATCCAAGATGGCACTGGGAAGAGCTTCTGAAGTGGAGGCCACTGCTTTATTAAATGTCATTGGCTGCCCCACTGCACTAGGTACAGTGTTAACAGAATGGTATGTCTGGTTGCTTAGCCACCATGATAGACCAGAAATGTCACTTCTCCTCTGCCTCTGTTGTTGAGAATGCACCTGAGTAAGAGATCTTATTCTAAAAATGTACTAAGAAACGCATTTACTCCAGAGTAGAGTAGGACATATTTCATTTCATGAGGAAGAGGTATTTAATTTTTAAAAGTTAGGCTTTTAGTCACTCCCCCTTAAAATGAAATGCTTAGGTATTTTACACACAAAATATGTACGAGATCTATATGAAGAAAACTGCAAAAGTGATGAAAGATATCAAAGAAGTTGTAAATAAATGGAGAGGCATTCCACGTTCATGAATAGGAAGATTCAATATTGTCAAGATGTCAGTTCGTCCCAACCTGATCTATAGATTCAGTGGAATCCCAATCAAAATCCCAGCAAGTTATTTTTTGAGTATCAACAAACTGATTCTCAACTTTAGACGGAGAGGAAGAACGCCCAGAACAGCCAACACAGCATTGCAGAAGAGCAAGTTGGAGGACTTACGCTACCCAACTTCATCTTACTGTAAAGCTCTAGTAATCAAGACAGTGTGGTATTGGAGAAAGAACAGATAGAGAGATCAGTGAAACAGAATAGAGGGTCCAGAGATAGATCCACATAAATATAGTCAACTGATCTCTGACAAAGGAGCAAAGACAATTCAATGGAGAAAGGACGATCTTTTCAACAAGTGGTGCTGGAACAACTGGTCATCCACAACAAAAAATTAATCAAGACACAGGCCTTTACACCTTTCATAAAAATTGACTCCAAACGGATTGTAGACCTAAATGTAAAATGCAAAGCTATTAAATTCCTAGAAGACAATATAGAAGAAAACTTAGGTGACCTTAGGCTTGGTGATGACTTTTAAGATACACCACCAAAGGCACTGTCCATAACAGAAAAAACTGATAAGTTGGACTTCATTAATATAAAAAACTGATGCTCTGTGAAAGACACTAAGAGGAAGAAAAGACAAGACAGACTGGGAGAAGATCTTTACAAAGAACATACCTGATAAAGAACTGGTATACAGAATATACAAAGAACTCCTAAAACTCAACAATAAGAAAACAACCCAATTAAAAAAAGGGTAAAAGACCTGAATGGACACCTCACCAGAGAAGCTGTGGCACGGCAAATAATCATTTGAAAAGATGCTCTGCATCATACGCCAGTAGGGAATTGCAAATTAAAACAACACCGCATACTACTACACTATAATCCGGAACACTGACGACACCCAAATGCTGGTGAGGATGAAAAGCAACAGGAGCTCTCATTGCTGGTGGGAGTGCACAAGGGCACAGCCACTTTGGAAGACAGCTCGGCAGTTTCTTGCAAAACTAAATATACTAAAATACTAATAGGATCCAGCAGGTGTGCTCTTAGGTATTTACCCAAATGAGTGAAAACTTCTGTCCACCAAAAACCTGCACACAGACAGGTGTTGCAGCTTTATTATAATTGCCCAAACTGGGAAGCAACCGAGATGTCCTTCGGTAGGTGAATGGATATATAATCTGTGGTCCATCCAGACAATGGAATATTATTCAGCGCTAAAGAGAAACAGCTATCAAGCCATGAAAAGACATAGAGGAACCTTAAATGCATGTTAGTAAGTGAAAGAAGCCAATCTGAAAAGACCACATACTGTATGATCCAACTCTGTGACACTCCGGAAAAGCCAAAACTATGAAGACAGTAAAAAGATCAGTGGCTGCCAGAGGTTGGGGGGGAGGTGAGGGATGAACACGTGGAGCACAGAGGGTTTTTAGGGTAGTGAAACTATCCTTTATGATACTGCAATGGTGGATATGTGTCATTGTATATACATTCGTTAACACTCACAGACTACAACATCAAGAGTGAACCCTAATGTAAACCGTGAACTTTAGTTAATAATAATGTATCAGTATTGGCTTATCGCTTGTAGCAAATGTACCACAGTAATGCTAGATGTTAACAATATGAGGAAAGCGGGAGGGGGAGGGAGTATATGAGAACTTCCTGCACTTCCCACTCAATTTTCTGTAAATTAAATCTACTTCAAAAAATAAGGTGTATTAGTTTTTTTAATTAAAGAATAAAAAAGATACTAACCTTTCAGGCAGTTTACTTCTATCAAGAATTGCCTGATTTCAGGTCAACCTTAAAAAGTCCTGTTCTTTGATTTTAGGATGGTTTAGACAAGTTTATCTTTCCTTGAGATTGTAATTCCTTTCTACAGACTTTTTAGTTCAGTGGGAAATTACTGTTGGTTGAAGCTGCTGCTAAGTCTAAGTGGTTGAAATTGGAAGAAAAAATCAACTTTAAGAATTTCACTCTGGGTTTTGTTGATGTTTTAAGTTACATTTCATTATTCCTTTATGCCGTCTTCCTGACAAATTAGGAATTTGGAGGTCAAAGAATATTTAAGATTTTGCGTTGAGGAAAGGTGTTTTTTTCCCTCAGAGAGTCACCATTTCTTACACCAGATAACAAATGCCTCATCTGTCCACTCTTAGCTGCAGGACTCATGCACACATTCAATGCCCACGCTGCCACGGACATCACGGGCTTTGGAATTTTGGGCCATGCTCAGAACCTGGCCAAGCAACAGAGGAATGAGGTGTCCTTTGTGATTCACAACCTTCCCGTCCTGGCCAAGATGGCTGCTGTGAGCAAGGCCTGTGGAAACATGTTTGGCCTCATGCATGGGACCTGCCCGGAGACATCAGGTACAAGGATTCTGGGGCCAAATCTGAGGATCAAACTAGTGACGCTAACGGAAAGTTCCATGAAAAGGGAGAAGTACATGAGTTTGACCCACTTTGTGTGAGGTCAGCACTGATAACCTTGATCTTGTTTGCAAGGAATGTTCTCAGCCCCCTCCAGTGCTGCAGGTTACCAGTCTCCTGCCATCTGTGTGGGATCGGCTCATTTTAGGTGACTTATTTTAAGTCCAGTGTTTTCTGTGTTTGGTGATAGGATGGGAGGGAGAATATGGGGGAAATAAGGCATTATTCAGTTTCATTGGAAAATTAGCATTTGAAGTAAGCGTAATAACCATAGGTAACATTGAATAGCCTGTACCTTTTCCTTGAAAAGAGATGTCTAAAATGGCTGTTTTAAGAATGAAATAGTATATTATGTCTCTAAAGTGCCATTTTTCTTTTCAACTCATTTTTTCTCTCTTCCCCACCTTGACTCTTGTGTCTCATCCTGAAGTCCTCCCTTCTCTTTTGTTTTCAGTTTCTCTTGTTTCTGTTTCCTTCCCTCTGTAACTCAGTAGTTTCCTTACCCTGACAGGAATGGAATCATCTGGGGATTTAAAAAGTACCCACACCTAGACCCGATGCCTATAACCTGAGTTAGTCAGTCTGGGGTGAACCTGTCGTCTATAATCATAGCAACTCCCAGAAGACTCTGGGGCGCAGCGGAGAGGAAGCCCACAAGGCCCGGCCCGCGCATCAGCCCTGCAGAAGGGCTGTGGTTCTCCAGTAGGGCTCTCCCAGCCTTTCCAGAGGACCCTTCAACTGCCTGTCTTTGAAAAACAACAAAATCTGTTTTCTAGAAATAAGCTCCCAGAGGGCTGCTGAACCATTAGTTCAGTGTCTGGCTAGAATGTGCCTGCCACCTGGTGGGCCACTGGTGCCACCTGGTGGGCATGAAATAAAGGTTGAAGGAATTAACGAATATTACCAACAAATTCAGTTAGCTTCATTTATTCAAAAATGAGAAGTGTTTGCTCTTTCTGTAAAGGTACAGTATATATTTTGTCCTGATTGTTTTTTCTACTTACAAACATATATAAAATTTTTAACCTAGCTACTGAAATAGCTATGAAAGTTTATATTAACATATTTTATACTTTTTCTGTTTTGAAGATCATGAAAGAGCCAATGACAGAACCTAGATGCTTTGAGGCATTCAGTCTTTGTTGAATGTTAATTTTTAAATGAAAAAAATACAAAAAGTCTTCTTTGTAAGGTGAGGAATTCATTAGAGAACCAAATTGAAAAGGAAAGTTCTTTTTTGTTTTTAAATATTTCCTGCCGTGTAGCATGGAACAAACAGCCTCCACCCGTTATTGAGGCCTCCAACACCTTACTCCTGCACAGCGTTAAATGGTTCACAGATAGGTCATTTTCACAGTTGAAAGTTTGTTGCTGTGTGTGTTTGTTAGTATGACAGGAGTTTACGATGAGTTGCGTAATTACCCTACGGTTTCATCTGTGGAACAGTGAAGGCGGAACACTAGTTGTGTGGAGAGGGCAGCTGCGCAGAGACACCAGGTGCTGGTTGAAGGTGGCTGTGTGCAGAAGTGTTTTGGAAAGATTGTGGCCGAGAAACTGCTTGCACAGCATCACAACTAATGATAATCCTTTCTTTCTTTCTTTTTCTTTTGCCAGGAGGCCTTCTAATCTGTTTACCACGTGAGCAAGCAGCTCGGTTTTGTGCAGAGATAAAGTCCCCCAAATATGGTGAAGGTCACCAAGCCTGGATTATTGGGATCGTAGAGAAGGGCAACCGGACGGCCAGGATCATAGACAAACCTCGGATCATCGAAGTCGCCCCACAAGTGGCCACTCAGAGTGTGAACCCCACACCTGGGGCCACCTCGTAATCTAGACCGAAACACCTATTTGGTTTTGTTTTTAAATCAATCTATTTCCTTTATCATCATTTCAATTAAAGACTATAAACAACAACAACAATCTCATTGTGTCTACACATCTGGTGACCTTAGGTCAATTTGTGAGTGGATGCAATTAATAAAATAAAATCCATTGCCTTTTTTTCCTGTTACATTAACTGAAGATGCACCTAATCCTGAGGCAGCTTCTGAGTTGAGAATTATATTGTTATCCAATACTGTTGATTCATTTTGAATCTTTAGACACTTAACTCTTGCCGCATAGGCTCTTTTTAAAGGTGCTTTCACACAGCACAGACATTACCAATCGTAGTGTCAATAGCAGTTGGTGTCTTTTCATTTTATGGATATTTATCATTATCAGTCTGATTTTCTTCTAAGTGTCTTGAGTGGTGTTCTGGAAAGACAGGATTGGTAAGTGACACAATGGTTTCCCAGTAGTAAGACAGTTGCATGATTCCTTTGAGTCTTTGACTTATAAAGCCTCATCTTCTAATTCAGAGCATCTCTTTGACCCAGGACAGCTCCCATGATGCTTTCAGTTAAACAAGACAAGTGCTTAACTCTGCATGGAAAGCACTTGGAAGAAAAAAAAGAAATTTTATTTCTTTTTTTGTAACCTTCCTAATATTTACAGTAGTGTCATTAACTGTTTTCTTTATGGAGAGCCAAAAAGGATACTTTTCTGCAACGTAATGAGATGTTTTATAGTGCAACAAGGAATTGCCTTCCAAAAGGGGGTTCATGTATAATACTCATTTACAATTCCATATATAATTACACAAATAATTTTTAAATATAATCAATAATAAAGACTGTTCTGTGGATGGTAGTGTTTAATACATTTTATATTTTGTATAGTGATTTCAGGCCTTTTGTTTTCTTGAAATAATCAGCTATTTAGCATAATTCTTAGCATTTTTTTGTCTTTTGCGCCAGTAAGTTTTTGTGCACGCTTTTTGTGATCTCTGTTAAAAATCTGCATTGCCAACATTGCAGCAGCTCAAACTTGTTCAAATAAATATTTAATTTTTTTTATTGCTCTTGTATAATCAGATGCCCCTTTTAGTATTATTTTAGAAGCATTTGGGAGGGTTTTGGCTAAAGTACAATTTATTGGGGAAAACTAGATTTTAGTTTTATAAAACTTTTAAGTCTTTCATGGGACCTATATTTTCTTGAATTAAATTTTGTAGTTCTAGAAGAAACAGGCAATCTACAAAGGTGTTTATCTGTGTTACTTAAAAACAGAGGCTTCCTTATATTTAACCGACTACATGATTAGGAAGGATTCCTGTCGTGAAGCACAAGGGCACTGACCCCCTAAGTGTCTGCGTCAGAGAAAAACACCCCATCACTGCAGGTCTGGATGCTTCCTGCCCACAGGCACCAAACCCCTGTGATCCGTCAACTACTTGCCAAAGGAAACCATCACTCCGGAGATAAAGCCCTTGGAAGAGGCTTTTCCGTGGACCTCCCCTCCTTCAGGAGCCATAGGGCAGCCTTTTCACGTGGGTAACTGGAACTCAAGCCATTAGTACGGTGTGTGGTACCTAAGAGGCTGCTACAGAACTGAAATTAACTGGACATTTTATAGGATTTATACACATGTTGGTCCTCAAAAGCTACAAACCAGTGGTCTGCAAAATAAAATGTGTTGGAAACCTCTGAGTAAGATGAACATACTGTTGAGCTTTTCTTCTTTTTCTTTTTCAATACACTAGTGATGACTGAATCTGAACTACTTTCAATGTAGATCATGTCTTGAAAGCTTGTTTTCCTTGGTGGCAAGGCTACTGAGATAAGTGAGCTAAATGGATTATGCACTTGATAGCATCTTCAGAGGATTCATAGTTAGAATGAGAAAAGGTTGGGTCCTTATAGGTCCATGTCATTTATACGGCCCGATGTGAGGAGGAACTGGTCCTTACAGTGGTGTTTCTCAGCAGTCCAGACCACCTGCCTTAGAATTACCTGGAGATGCTTGTCAGAGGCAAATTCCCAGGCCCTACCCCAGACCATCAGAATCAGAAATTGGGGGTCATGAGGCTTGGGAATCTGTCTTAAATGATCACCCTAAGCAGCTGTGCGCAATAAAGTCAGAACCCCCAATAACAGAGCGTCGCAGATGGCTGGGAGAGGCAAAGGAGGGGAGGGGAGTGGACTCACTTTTACAATATAGTTTTACAGGAAGTTTTCTTTTAAATCTTGACCATTCTACTTATTGACTCCTTCCACACCTGGGCCCTGCAAAACAAACAAAACCCAGATATCTTGAAATTTCCTTGAAATATCAGGTGATTGTCATTGAGTTTTTGAGTTCTTGACAAAATCTATGTAGAATATTTTAAAATTCAGTGAATAGTTAATACATAGACAATTATTTGGCTTCCTGGCAGCACTTTAAAACTTCACATTGCCATCTTGGTATAGCAGTTTATTTTCTTTAAACCCTATGATGTAGTTGCATCCCAAATACAGTTTGTTAGAATGCACAGAAGTAGTGAACAGCCTGAAAAAAGCTGGGCCCCGGAGTCAATAATTGGTTTAGCAATAGGACCATTTGCTTATGTTCAAAGCTTAGCTTGTTATTTGCAAAGGCTGTGTTGAAGCGTTTATTGTGATTCAATTCAGGAAAAGAAATACTGTGTGAGCAATATGTACTTTTTGGCTCAATATTTTAAAGTACCTTCCTATATTGTAGTCTCCAAGTCCTGCATGCCTTATGATGAATAAATGCGAGTGTTTTAAATTGTTCTGATCTTAGATGTATGAGCCAGCAGTTTTCAGTCTGAATTTAGCCTTGCCTTTAAAAGTTACATTTGCTTTGTAAGTTTTACACTATTTGTCTGTAGAGAGAGACTAGAATAGCTATGCTATTCTTTATTTTTAGAAGTAATAAAGCAAGCACAGGTATTGCTGCTTCACACACTTAACTGTCACGTGTGCGTGTGTGTGTGTGTACGAGTATATATGTGCTTTTATGTCTCCTTGAGCTTCTCATCAATTCCACACCCAGCTCACCCTTCAGTTCTAGATTAGGTAGAGGTTTTATAGACAACATAACTTACCTTCAACAGTAATTTGTACTGTTTCTCACTGAAAATCCACATATGAACCATGCAATTATTAAACATGCCAGGGTCCACAGGAAAATCAACACATTCAAAGTGCTGTTCTTCAAAGCAGACTGTGGAATATCATTTTGCCTCTGGTTAAGTGTCGTGTCTTGAAAGAGAAAGGGAGTGGGTGAACTGGCCAGACTGCATCAAGTAAGACAGTCGGTGACACAGTGCTCATAGGGTCCAGATAGGATCAAGGGCTGCTGGAATCCAAGCTTGCTGCCGATGCCAAGGGCTTTGCTTAGTCAGGGAACACTGGGGAAACAGGTCTTGAACCTGTGCTCTGTAGGGTTTCCTCTACTTCACAGTCTTAAATGTTTGATATTCAACTCTGAATACACAGCTGATGTTGTCAGTGGGTGTTGACTGTGCTTCCTAGCCCTGCTGCCTTTGGAGGGAGTGTTACGCTTGGAAGGACGGCATCGCATGAAGCCCATCAAAACTTCATGGAAGGAAATAGAAAATTCACTCTATCAGTGATCTGATTGCAGAAAAACCAAAGTATTTTCTACTCTCAGTATTTCAATAACATAAGCATATGCACATAGAAGTTTATGGAGACTTAAGAAATGTTATGTTGATAATTATCAATGAGCAAGTCCTATATTTTGCTAGTTCTTAAAGCAGAGTTGCATAAAGTTGGTGTCTACAACATAGCCCTGATTTGATCCATATTGAAAAATTAAGAAAATTACAGTAGTTGAACCCTCTTATTTTTTAAATAAAAAGCTAGATTTTATTTCCAGCACATTAAGAAATAATACAAAGGAATCAGAAAGACACATACGTATAAATAATTTCTCAAATATTAGAATACAATAGTTAACCTAGACAACTTTAAATGCATAAAACTGAGTAGCCATTGTCCACCTACACCAGTCAAATAGGTCCAGTAAATCCAGTTACATTAAGCAATTTTGAGGTGCTTAAAGTTCACGTGACATTTATTTCTTTTCCTAACTTTTTATTTTGAAAAACATTAAACACAGGAAAGTTGAAGAAATAGCAGAATGGATCCTCCTAGCAACGTCAAGTTGTTGATATTTACCACATTTCCTTTCTCTCCACGTGTAACCTGTGCAGCATCCGTACAGGTAGGGACACAGCCTTTTTTCTGTTTAGGCTGAGCCACCCACAGAAGGCAATTACAGACATTATGACGGGTGGCAGGTGGACGACATCCACACGGTTCCTCCAGTGACCAGATTGCCTTGCATGCAGCCATAGTGTTTTCATGGCAGATTTTACAGTTTTAAGGGAAGAATGAAAGAATTTCCAGGGTACAGTCATATGTATTCTCAGAAGGGAATGGTATTTTTGAATCTGAAATTGAACAATTTAATCCGAGCTTTTCTTAGGTCATACAATTTTTCCTTACATGCTCAAATTGGCTATTATTGAAAAATCACCTTCTTTAACTTCTTTTACATTTCAGGAAAACTCTTCCTTAGACGAATATGAAAATTGTCGTCTTTCAACGTTTGTCTTCAAGGTTACTTTCAATATTTGCATAAACCAAGCACATTGTTGGAAGTGGGGGGAAAAAAGGTAAATTCCAAAGTTAGTAAGAAATGAGTAAATATCAAGTGCAGAAGGAGAAAGAAAATGTCATTCTTGTGATAACGTTTACATTCCATTAATGATGTTTCAATTGTTCTAAAATATTTTTATTTTAATAACACAATTATTAAAGATGTCTACTTAGGGAATTTCCAAATAATCCCAATTGCTATTTTAAAAAACTAGTAACATTTATCAAATTACCTCTTTACCTAAGGAGAAATGATTGTTTTAATTGTCTGGGATCTAAATGAAAAATTTTAACCTCAGCATCCCTCTAATTGTGAAAGGCAGATAACAATTGGAAGCATTTCCTTCCTCTTATAATAATGATAAACACGCCCTTTGTATAAATACCTTATGGTGGAGAGGGCAGGGATTTTCACACACTTGTAAAATGAAGGCATTTTAGGGGGACATTTGAAATACAGGCAAAGATAGCGTCATCTCATTCGTATTTCTCATTGGTCAGGAAAGCTGAGAACTTTCAGGGCCTGTAAGAGTTAAGGTCCTGATCATTAAATCATTTGGGTGGGGGTGAACTGAATTAATATTTTTAGTTTATCTTCCTCCTCCCAGAAATCCCCACTACTCACCAGGCGAGGGTAGTAAAGAGACACCTAGGCCTCTGTCCCCATTCCAGTAGGGGCTTTTCTTAGAAGCAGAAAGATGATTTTCCCTTTCCTGTACCTGCCAATGGCCAGATACTTGATCTTAAATTATGAGAAACAGAAGTGCTTCTCTTGAAAATCTTCGGGGATCCAATTGACAAGTTCAAGGCCAGGTCCAGCCCTGGGATGATCAGGGTGGGGGATGAGAGCTAATGAGGGGAGGCCCAGAGCCCTTCTCTGAACCTAAAAGAACCTGGGAGTCTGGGTGAGGAGGAAGCATGGAAATAAAGAACGAATGAAGAGGGGAGTCCAAAGGGCAGGCCTTGCTCTGGACGCTGACTTTCCCCTCTCTGCCTGGGAGGAATCAGGCAGGAACTAATTATCCTGGGTCCCGGCCTGCTTCTCTCTGCGACTCTGGCAGTTTAATCACATCATACAAAGTCATCACTGAAGAAATGATAACATGTTTATGAGGAGCGCATTCTGGAAAAAAGTCTTGAAGCTTAGGAAACAATGAAAAAATGAGAGAGGAAAAGAGACAATGAGATAATATGTCAACCATCTGTGGATACTGGAGAGAAAAGAGATCTTACAGAAAGAATTCTAGTTCTTACAGCCATTATGGAAAACAGTAGGAAAGCTCCTCAAAAAATTAAAAATAGAACTTCCATATTTTCCCACAATCTCACTTCTGGGTATTTATCAATAGGAACTGAAATGAAGATCTCAAAGAGATGTCTGCACTCCCGTGTTTGTTGCAGCATTATTACAATAGCCAAGACACGGAAACAGGCTAAATGCCCACTGATGAATGAATGGATCAAGAAAATGTGGTATATACATAGAATGGAATATTATTCAGCCTTAATAAAGAAGGAAATCTGGCCGTTGCAACACCAAGGATGAACCTTGAGGACTCTGCGGTAAGCGAAATAACCCAGTCACAGAAGGACACATACTAGGAGATACGACTTCTCTGTGGAATCTCAGAGTCAGACTCATCCAAGCAAAGACAAGAATGGTGGTTGCCAGGGGCTGAGGGAGGAGGAAACGGGAGATGTTGGTCCGAGGAGACAAAGTTTCAGTTACGCAAGATAAATAGTTCTGAGATCTACTATATAGCAAGTGCCTACAGCTAACAATGCTGCCTCGTATACTTAAATGTTAAGAGAGGACATCGTATGTTAACTAAAATAATGAAAAAAGTGCGTGAAGAAACTTTGGAAGGTGGATGTTGATGGCCTTGACGGTGGTGATAGTTTCACAGGTTTATACTTATCCTCCAAACTCATTTAATTGATAAAACAAGAACAGGAGAGAAAAAAAGATTTCTCATTCTTTAAATTTAAAATTATACTAGACTGCGTGGATCAGGTTTTTCAGAGATTATATATTTCATACACTTTTTTTTACATGACGAAACTGTTTCTAATGTTTCCGACTGGACTCCCATTAAACTAAACGCCTCTTTTGGACAGCACACGTTACTTCTGGTGGTGAACATTAGAAGTTTTATTCCTCCGGCATCTAAGCGGAAGAAACAGTCATGTGAAATAAAATAGGTTGAAACTATGCAGTTCAGAGTGTGGGTCACGTTCTGGCTCCAACTTACCCAGGACCACAAGCAGGTTTCTGCACTTCGCGGCAGGGACACGTCTGTGCTGGTTTATAAGTGGAGCGAGACGGAAGTAATCCACTGCGGGGAAGGGATGGCCCAGAGCCCTGCGCATGCGCACTCCGGGCTGAGGGGGGGCGCGTCCGTGCGACCGCGAGAGGGCGCGGGAGCTGGTGGCTCCTCCCCTCACCTGGAGGCAAGGCGGTCGGCGGATTTAACCGAGGTGGGGCCAAAGCACTGTCGGCTCAGCTCCTCGCCGCGGTCATGGACCAGCCCCGCGCTGCCGCCCGCCTGCGCATCCTGCTGGGCCAGCTGGGCCGCTGCTCGGCCGGGGCCGTCGTATCCTTTGGGCTGCGCGGGGCTCGGGCTGGAAGGCTCCCCGTCTCGGTGTCCGCGCCTGGCAGGCTTTTTGGTGACCCGGCCGGGGAGGTGGCCCCAGGGCGCATCGCGCAGCCGCCACGCCAGTTCGTGGTCCCGAAGGCCCCAGGGGGACCTGGCGGCGGTGGCTGAAGCGGCGTCCCTCCAGCGTCCGTCCCTCTCGGGCCTCTGTCCCTTGCTTTATGAGAGGAGGGTGGGGAGTCCTTCCCAGAGGGTTCCGTCCTCAGCTGCTTGTCATTTTCTGCATTTGTCGGCGCGTGACCGCTGCAGCAGCCAGCAGACCTAGATACGTGTAGAAATGTGGAAGCCCAGCGCAGGGACGCCGCAGCGCAGAGCGGGCCCCGGGAGCCCAGGCTGGCGGGCGGGCGGCCGCAGGGCCCTCGCGGGGGACACCCGGGCCGGCTGTGCAGGGGGAGCCGCTCTCCGCCCGCCCTCCAGTCTTCCTCCTCCAGGGAGCTCCGGGTGCGGCGGTCCTGGGCGCCTGCGGACCACAGGCGCGTTCCAGCGTGTCCTGCAGACGGACTTGGAGCCCTGTGTCCGCCTGCGGAGTTGCCCTGCAGAAGTGAATCCCGGGGGGATGCGTGTGCTGCCCGGGACGCATCCGGGAAGGTGTCACTGAATGGCACGGAAACCAAATTGCCTTGTAGAACTGTTTTTGCCTGCTCAGGAGAAGTGTCTTCTTCGGGACAGACTTGGGAAGCTCCGTAGGAAACTTTGGCTGAGATTTTTCCATAAGCGACTTCTGTTCTGCTGTTTTTAGGATCCTGAAATGTCTCCTAAAATGATGATACATCTGTTCGTTTTACTGTCACCAGTGCTCTCCTGGCTGATTCCAAGCAGCGATGTATCAGAACCCTTGTAAATTTAAATCCGTCCGTAGACCGTTAAAGGGAACCCAGGTGATCACGGAACCTCATTTCCAGGTGAGGACTCAGAAGCTGAGGCTAGGGGAGTTCACAACTCTGGGCCAAGTTCATTTAACGAAATCGGTGGTTGTCAGAGTGTGGTCCCCTGACCAGCACCATGAAGATCACCTGGGAACTTGTTAGAAATGCAGATTCTCAGGCTCATCTCAGACCTGTGGAATCAACTTACCTGGGGGAGAGGCCAGCAATCTGTTTTCACTTTTGGTTTCTGATACCTGCTCAGTTGTGGAACCAGCAGTATACTGGAATGAGATATAACTGGAACTAGAAATTAAGGTTTCCCGGTCTAGGCTGTTAGCACTTTTAAATTTGATATCTGATCCTGCTGGTTCTTATTATAATATTTGTGAGGTCAGAGCTTAGTTCTTTTTACATGTGTGTTTCCTAGAACAGCACTATCCAGTACAACATTCAGCGATGGTGGAAATCTGTCCCAGCACTGTCCCATACCGTAGCTACTAGCCACACGTGCCTATGGAGCCCCTGAAATGTGAGGAGTGCCGCTGAGGGACTGAAGCTTTCATTAACTTCATTTCAATCTAAATACACGTGGCTAGTGGCTCTGGTATTGGACAGCTCTGCCTAGATTTTCAGTGAATGTATATGCTCTTCAGGCTTAAATAGAGTACTGGAAAATTTGTGACAGTTTCTTTGCAGCCCTAACTGGTTTTGAGGAAACATGGATTCCAGAATAAGGAATATTATTTGAACTACAAAACATAATGCAGTTTTTTTTTGCTTTTAAAGATTGGCACCTGAGCTAACAACTGTTGTCAGTCTCCTTTTTTTTCTATTTTTTTTTTGCCCCAATTCCCCCTCTACATAGTTGTATATTTTAGTTGTAAGTCCTTCAAATTGTGGCATGTGGGACACCGCCTCAGCGTGGCCTGATGATCGGTGCCATGTTCACGCCCAGGATCCGAACTGGCAAAACCCTGGGCCGCCGAAGCAGAGCGTGCAAACTTAACCACTTTGCCATGGGGCCGGCCCCCATAATGCAGTTTTTAAATACAGATAAGCATAAAGTTAAAAAATCTGACCCATATTCCACCACTCAGATCATCATTTGTAAACTTTTTGGTGTGTTTCTTTTCTGTGCATTTACATAATTAGGTAATTTGGAGAATACTGTATGTACAACTTTTTGCATCCATTTTTTCATGTTTACTAGCATTATATAGTAAACATTTACTACTTTATATAGTAAACACAGTAAACATTTATTAACTTTATATGGTGAACATTTCCACAGCATTAAAAAAATTCCGCAAGAACAACAACGCCAACAATGAAAAACGTCATGCTAGAGTAGTAGAGAGGGAAAAACGAACTTTGGACTAAAAGGACAACATCCAGAATGTCCTGTTGACGACGTTGTGCTCCAGTAAATTGAAAAAGGTCGTTAACCTCTCTGCCTTGGGGAAAACAGACAGTAGCTAGTAATTCTGCCTCCTGGCCTGCCTCTCTCCTTGACTATTATGTTGTCCCCGTTATATAAAGACGTTATTTAAAAAATAACACGTTAATGAGAAGTGGCATTCTGAAAGTAGCTCTTTAAGCTAAAGAAACAATGAAAAAAATGAGAGGAAAAAAAGAATCAATGAGATGCTAAATCAATAATCTGCGATTACTGGATAGAGAAGAAAATTAGAGTTTCTAGTTCTGTAAGATACTCAACTGTGTGGATCATACTTTTCTTGGAGTCACTGTTTATTTTATAGACTTTTTTTTCTTGACCGGCCAAACTGTTTCCAATATGTTGACTGGACTCCCACTAAATTAAGTATTTCTTGTGAACAGCACATGTATCTTCTTACTCCTAGAAAGGACCTTCCAATTATTTGTTCAGCAGGTTAGTGGAAGGAGTAGTCATGTGGAAGAGAATAGACGGAAGCTACGAAGAAAAGAGTGTGGGAAAAGTCATGGTTCAGCTGTTTTTTGCTGGGTGACCTTGGACCAATTCCTGAGCCTCCATGCCTAGGCTTCGTGCTCTGTGCAGCAGGAACAATAATAAAGCTCTTGCCTCCCAGCCACCTCCTCAGGCTACTGTGAGAATGCAATGGAGTGCTGTCAGCAGCAGTGCGTCAGTGTCAGAGGTTATGTGTGTCAGCAGTTTGCCTGATGTCCATTTAGGACCAGCCTTCCCTTGTGAGAGCCAATCCGGGGCAGACTGTGCTTCTAGAAAAGATTGACTCCTCAATTTTACTTTATCTGCCTTAATTCACCTCCTAGATAGCTCACCCCATTTCAGAGTCTGTTTCTTCTGCCGGTTTCCATCCTCAACAATTCCAGTAAGTAGATCGAATTTTAATTTTGAATCATACAATGTATCTAAAGATTTCTCTAGTGGTAACTAGGATATAAAATACAACGTACCATGTTGCCTGATGAGAATTCATTATACATTCCTCCATTTCCAAGACTTGTTCTAATTAGAACAATCGTGGAAAATTTTGAAGTCCCTGACTTTAATTTCCTATATGTATTTTAAAATTCAGAAAGGAGGAAAAGTGTCAAAAAGTGTATAATGTGATTATTTAAAATTCGTATGTGATATATCTCATTAAAATCAGCGTGCACTTTGGTCATGTTGATACATTAGGTAGTATCTTGGTTTATCTCAAATTTCCTTTAAAGGACAGAACTTGATCTCCATGGAATGTTCTCATGAGTCACAATTCCAGTCCAGAAGAATGGAGTGAGTGATGTGAGTTTGTGCATGTGCTGTACACTTTGGATTTTGTTACTTTGATTTTTTTTCTGA